GTGAAGATCTTTGAATCCTTATTTTTTTTCTTCTTTTCTGTCTGGTTGAATTTGGTGATTGAGAGAAGCTTCAAACTCAAGACCCCTGTTATTCTCCATCCTTTTCATTCTCCTTCCCTGCTATTTTGTCCGTCGAAAATATCCAAGTTTGCCGTGGATTCATCGCTGACGAGGTTGGAGTCATGATCACTGTGCTTCTCTTTCTCTTCTGTTCGTGTGCGCTGTGGGATGCTATCATCGAAGCCTCTCCTTCATCATCTTCCCCTGTTTCGAGGCTGTTCTGGTGACGGGGGCTTTGACTCCTCCTGATCGTTTCTCTTTGCTTCATTGGTGAGCTAAGTTCTATCCTTTCTTCCCCTATCATCGAATCTATGTGTGTATTGTGAATAGGTAGGAAGTTCGATCTTTGATTAAATCTTTTCTGCCTTCTACGTGTCTATATGCAATGAACTGGAATTGCTTTGCTTTAATTGCTGTTGGACGTTGAATAAAAGGGAAATTTGGGGCTTCCTTTTTGTTAGTTTTGAGGAATACATAAGAAGTTTGATGATGTGGTTTGAATGTTAATGCTATTAAGGTGTTCATGAAAAATGTGTAGAAGGGTTGAAATGGAGTAATTAAGTATGTTACAAGGTTTAAAATCTAATACTATGGATTTAGGTTCTGTGGTATGAATTTTAATTTGTTCTTGATGAAGAAACGTGTTTAGGAGGCATAGAGAATTTGTTTGTATGTTTGGATTTTTGTTAAGAGATTTAAAAAGTACTTGGCTAATATTTCAAAGATCAAGTTTGTTTGTTCTTATGGTAACTTTTGTGTGCTTGTGAAATGTCTGATAGAATGTGTGATGAGGAAAGTTTATGAAAATTGGACATACATGAGTGATAGGTAATGCTGATTAAATCACATGAGTAGTCTATTTTCTATATGAAGACTTGAAAATTTTAAGTACTATCTATATATGTGTTTATTGAAGATTTATTAATTAAACTTAATACGGGTTCTTATTTGTGAAATGTCGATGTCGATGTTATCTTTTCCCATTCTTTAAATTTGTTTGTATTGAAGATTTTGAATTTATGAAGTGAATCAAGGAGATAACAAAAATGATCGTTTGGGTGCTAGGGAAATAAGGTGCAGACCATATCACAAAAGGGGTTAATTAGGAGCAAGTTATATGTTTCAAAATGTCTCAGGTAAGTGGATAGCGTCCCAACTGATATTTTATTGAAATTTCTTTTATTCGAATATTACATTTTTATGCAAATTATTTTTGCGACAGTAATGTGATTATGAGACATTTTGTTGATTAAATTACTTTATTTTGTGAAATTATTTTACCATAATTGATCATTTTGGTTAATCAGTAAATAGAAGTTTGAATTCTAATTGTGGGATTTTATTTTTCTGGAAATTATTTTTATAGCATTAATGCAATTAATGAATATTTGTTCAATAACATTACTCTATTTTGATAAATTAGCTTTACCAAATTTAAAATGTTATTTGATCAATGAAATTAAATTTGAATTTTGATTATGATATTTTTATTATATTAAATATTAGAGAGATACAGAGAATGACTCATGCGAGTTTGAAGTTGAAATTTTTTCAATAAATGCAAGCACGAGCATTGAATATAAAATTTGATTCTGGAAAGTTTTAATGCTTAAAAGTATTCATGCGAGTTTGATTTTGAGAATGAGAACTGTATCTTGAAAGTGATGATTTTCTCGCATGTTTGAAATGATTTTAAAAAAAAGGGGACTTTATATAGAACACTGGTTGCTAACGGCAGTTCCGTTAGCCCTTGGCGCGCCATGGTACACCTAGCTAGCAGGGTGTTTATAGGAGGTGCTAGCCCCGTGCGATGGCCAACGCACGTGGAACGAAGGGATGATTATTCGTGAGCATAGTACTCACCTTTGTTTCGTGGCTTCAAGCCACGTTTGGTTAGCAATATCCTCGTGGACTGTGTGTTCACGTTTGTTTCGTGGCTTCGGCTGCGTTTAGATACTTACCTTCATGGATTGTGTGTCCACATTTGTATTCGTGGCATAAGCCGCGTTTGGTTATTTACCTTCGTGGACTGTGTGTCCACGTTTGTCTATCGTTCTAATAAGTCCCTAAAAATTTGTGAATTTAATTATTTGGTGATTTTAAATTTCATTAGTTTTTATTTAGTAAATTATTTACAAGTATTTATTTCATTTATGTGACTTCTTAAAAATCAAGTGATATTACCATTTGCTATGTTAGTTCAATGATTCAAGATTTTATTCAAAATTTTATAGAATCATTTTATTTTGAAGTTTATACATTTTTTTATGGAAATTTTTGTTTCATTAACTTACATATCTATTTTGAATTTTTCATTTTATTTATATTCAATTATTTATTGTTAGGACGTTATTCACTGAAAAATATATTTTTGGCCTCAGGTAGCATAAATTGAACTTGTATATCAAAGTGTTACTTGAGACATTCTATCACTAAAGCGGAGTGGAAGAATTATTTCAAACAAGTTTTACTTGATGAAAATTTGAACCCTGTATTCATTTCAAGGAATGGTCCTAACTGCTCCATGTATAATGTAGGTAGGATTCTCATCTTTCTTAAAAGATTGTATATATGTTAGTACAGAGCGAGATCCTTTATTTTGATTATTATTGTTCTTTGTCATCATTCATTTCAGGAAGTCTTATTTACATGAAAGTTCTATTAAAAATTTTATTAATAATAATAATAATAATAATAATAATAATAATAATAATAATAATAATAATAATAGCAAAAATCATATGCTGGTAGTTTGGCATGGATGAAAGTATATTTGTTCAAGGCTTAAGGGATATGGGTTTTACACACATATTCCGTGCCGGTCATGCCTTAAATATTTGGGGCGTGACAACCAGATAGATGAGTCAGTGATTCAAAATCTGGACATCCAAAGACATATTAAGATTATACGTATACATGATATTTTTGAAGAATGTTTCCAATTGGTATTGTTGAATGGATTAGCTTTCGTATGAACAAATGTTGCTTTTGCAGCAATTTAATTTTCTAAAGAAAATTCCAAAAGGATTCATTAGAGAAAGGAGTTTCATACCTATAGATGGAACAGAAGCCATCTTTAATAGAGCAAAAGCCATTAGTGCTTCATGACCAAATCAACTTATCATCCTGGGAAAGCAAGGAAAATGAGTTTTGAGAATGGCCTGAGCATCCTGAGGCTTATAAATTTTCTAAATCAAATCTCAATTCCAATTACAAGAAGAACAAGATAAATTTCTATGAATTATGAGATTAGACGCATGGCTGATATCAAATCTATTAAGCAAATTATGATCAATCGATTTCCACCAAAGCTCGTGTTCAATTGGAATATTTACTCTTGAACCTGTTTACCATTTCAGATTTTTAAGGATGATATCCTGAGAATCCAATATATCCTTCCAAAACCACGAAACATTATAAGGTTTCTTCAATTTAATATGACTAAAAAAATCAATATAGAGAGAGTGGTACCAAACAAAGAGTCTAGCTGAGAGAATAAATTCCTCAAATTTGTTTGGTTAAAAAAGCCAAATTCATTTAATGTTTTGATCGAATACGAAATCCACCTTCAAAGATGGGAGCAAAGAGGGAATCCTTCTTAGCCAATTGCATCTTTTTCGAGTCATGATCATATCTCCAAAAAAAGTGAATTAGCATGGAATCAATAAGGCTGCAAATCTTCTTTAGCAATTTAACGCATGACAATAGATAAATATTTGATGTGGATAACACAAACTTGGTTAAAGTTAAGTGCAAGTCTTAAGAGAGTAAGTTGACCCTTTAGCCAAAAATCTTCCTATCAATAAATGTAAGATGCTCATGAAGAATAGATTTGTCTCTACTAGCATCTATCAAAGTTTCCAGATATTTTCCAAGCCTATATGCTATTGTGCAAGCAAGCTAAGATGAAATAAAATTCTTCATGTTTGGAGTTATATTAGGACTAAGAACTATGATGGATTTATCGTTATTGATGTCTCATCCATATTGCTCTCAAAAAGTATGGAAAATGTCCTTAACCACAATAAGACCATAATTGTTACATTCAAAGAATAGTATTGAGTCGTCTTCATACAAAAGGTTGGACAAAATGTTTGCAACGAGAATGTATTAATAGGGGGATATTGAGTCTCCTTGCCTTATTCCATCTGAATGATATATTGGTGGTGTGGCTTTGTAATTAAAATGAATATGATAATGCATTGTCGAGATAAACTGTAAAATAAGTTGAATTAATATTGATGGAAAACTCATCTTAACAAAGATAGCCTTAATAAAAGATCAAGATATTACATCAAAAGCCTTTGCCAAGTCAATCTTTCAAGTAACTACTTTCTTCCTCTTACCTTTGGTGAGTGGACTTGATGCATTAACTCTACAACCAAAAAGATGTTGTCTATACTAAGTTTTCTTTTTATAGAAGTAGTTTGAAATGGAAATATTAGCTTAAACATTATTGGTCTCACCTGTTACTGATGATCTTAGAGAAAAAATTGTTAGTGATATTACAGAGATTGATTGGTCTAAGATCATTCAAGGTAATAAGTTTATTATGCTTGAGAATTAGAGTGATAAAGGTTTTATTCAAGACACTAAGGATATGCCTCGAATTTCAAAAGAATGACATCATATGAAAAAATCATTATTACTTTGATATGTAAGTCACAAAACAAAAAGAAAAGAATAAATTGCGGGTTATTATCGCCAGAAAGTTTCACAAAGGAATGCTTTCTTCCTGAATTGCAACGGTACGATAAAAAAGGGGTAACGATGAAGAAACATACTACACGTTTTTGGTTTTTTTTTTTTTTTTAAATTTATTTATTAAAAAAATTATCCAAGTCGGCTCCACACCGCGTGTCATATTTCAAGTGGATGGCTGATGGTCACTTGATCTCCAATTTTACCCTCAACTAGTCTTCACGCGGCCACCCTCTCGCCTCGCCTCGCCTCGCCTCGCTCGAAACGCTTCCCAAATCCCAATTAGCGATGGACGAAACGTTTCAGCTTCGGATCCAAACCATTTAGCTTCTGTCTCCGAACCTAAATTCGGACCGAGCCTCAGTTTTGTTCCTCTGTTCGTTGAAAATTTTGCACTATTTCGATCACTTTATCTGTCTGAGCTCAAAGACGCCCATTTTCGCTTCTTCGCTGCAAACCCTAACGCTTGGCTATCCAACGAACTCCGAGGATCAATTTTCAGCCTCAATGGAGGCTTCCAAATGTCGCTGTGAGTTCTTGGACTATGGTTCTATGTTTAACAAACCCTAGTGTTCTCTCTCCGGGAAACCTTGGTTTTGGGAAAAAGCAAATCTATTTTTCAGGGTCTGGCGTTTTGCGTTGGGCAGAATTTTCGAAAGTTCAACAAAGTTATTTTGTGTTGTCTAGTCATTTTAAATGCTGGTTTAGAGCTGGAATTATGCTGTGTTTCCGATCTTATGTAGTTTGGTAGCAAATGTGAGATTGTGAAGTTATAAGCGGTTTTGGGACGAGCAGAGCTGCCGCGAAAACGAGGGAAAAGAGTGCTAATTGAATTTATGTATTTTTGCTCCTCTCATTTCTCAAACAGAAAAATTTCAACTAAAGTAACTTAAACACATCTGATTAGATTTTCTTTTTGGTCGTGGCTTCCTCTTCCGTCTCCTACTATTTGCTTCAATATCTACCTCTTATTTTTGGTTTCTGCAGTCCTGGGAAGGAAAGTCTGAATTCTGACATCCAAATTTTGACTCTTGTTTCGTGCACCTCGTCTTTCCCATGTGTGATATTGAAAATGATTCAGAAGGGTTTTTCTGTCGTTTTTATGTTAATTAGAACGCATGACACGTAGGTGTGCAGCCTTTCATGGATCATTATCTGGATGTTCGGATTTATTTGGCTCTAGTTAAGCATTTCCGAGGATATAGTGGCAGTTGACAATTGCTGCCATTTTTTCCGTTATGTGAATGTGCTGAATAGACTCAATGTTTCTGATTGTTGTTGTCAGCAACAACGATGCACACGCACTGAAATTAAAGCTGGATTTTTCGTAGTGATGTTGCATTCCTTATTCCCAAAGTTAATTGATTTATCTTCAAATGCCAATTTGGTGCAGCCACACAGTGAGCGGTATAACATATAAGTCGTGTGACTGCGTTGTTTGCTGTTTTGTGGCATAATGCTGTTCATAAATAGAAGTATGTGTATGAGATTGTTTATTATATTTTTATTATGTCACAATGAAGATAGAATGTAGAGTTAAAAAGGAATTATTTAAGGACAATTTTCCCCCCTTCTTCATTAATAAGCAAAGTAGCTCTGTGCGTGTCTTAGTGCTTCAACCTTATGAAGTAACTGCTTAAACCTATTGAAAAGTTGTATTTTTTCCCTTGTTCTGGGTCATCATTGTCCCTTAACTTCAAGATATGATCAATAATGGGTATGATAATTATTAAGCTCATTGCTACTTGTAAATTGTAATCATTTACGTGTGGAGAAAGAATTTATCAACTGTGGAAGTTGCTCTATCTATTTACTATATATCTTATAGATACGCGAAAATAAATACACATGAATTTACAAATCAAATTGATATGTCTGCTTGTTTAACATTGCTAAAAAATTCTATGATCCACCAGGGTTTTTGACACCTTTTAGACAGTACGAAGGTTGAGGAAACAGCATAACTTATGCAGTGTGAACTGGACGAGTGAATCAATACACTGCAGGTAATTCTCTCTCTCTCTATCGCCATAGAATCTCAGCTGACTAAATGATTTATTTAATATAGCATGTTGGTTTTGTTGCTAAATTCTATGCTTGTGGCTGTGGATGTCACACCAATCTGGAAGAAATGTTCATGGATTCTTTAATTTTTTAATAAATTTACTTGGTGGAACATGTCCTGGTTCTATAATGGAATGATGACTTTCTTGGGGGTCTGAAAATGACCTCCGGTTGACTTGAATATGATGCATTCATTGACTGTGTTGACTTTAAGATGATAACTGAAAAGCCGCAGATAAAAACTGAGGGTTGTTAGTATAACATAACAAATACTGATGCTGAATAGAATTAGTGGAACTGAGGGTTCTTTACTAGAACAGGAATTACACGTACAAACTTTGAGGTGGGTTTTGTCCTTCTTGCATGATTGTGGTCATGTCGTTAATTCCACATTGTGAATTGATTTGATTGAAGCTGTTTTTCGTCATAAGGTGGAATTTACTGTGGTTTAGGGTGGGTTGTCATATCCAATTTTGTTCTTCAGTATTGTTTGATAGACCAGCTGTTGATGCAAAAGATTTAAAGCTAAGCTTGAAATTTTGTTCGAATTTTCTAATGATGATGATTGATAATTGATTCGTATCCCAGGTAACCTTTGTACTGTACTTGATTTAATGCCAGTAGTGCTGGTATGTATGTTTTGACATGCAACTCAATGAATATATCTGATCCTTTTAACAATAAAAATATTTTGAAAAACTGTTGCTGAATGTTGATTGCACAAAAATATTGTTCAAATGAACTTTGCTATAATAAAGTTACAAGGCATCAACGGCAGTTTGTTCAAATGATTAGGTGCTTGTTGCCCTTAAGTAGGATCTTGAGTTCATGTCTTGTTTACACTCGTTGTTCAAAAAATTTCAGTTGGAAGAGCTTTACACCCATTTAGTCTGGACCAGCTTGATTCAGATTAGTCAGGGCTCAATGTAGCTTCAGAAAACCAATAGATGTCATCCCAAAAAAAAGTTACTAGGCTGCACCTGATTGATGACACCATTTTCCTGCATCGTTAAATTCATTTGGTTTACGTATGTGACTTGTTTCCATTTTGTTGTGCACTTATACTTGATTTGGTGCTTGAATGGGACTTATTTTGGTTCAATGTTTTCACTCCTTTTTCGATGCAGAACAAGAAGCATGGTAAATATCATGTTGCATTTGCTTGTTAATGCTTTGAGTATAGTGCCTTGTATGAAATGTCATTATTTGTTATCCTGCCATTTCTTATCACAGCTGATCTAATGAATTTACACAAAAAGAATTCTTTTGTTTGCAGGATCTTTTATTCCCCCCTCATTTCCAGGGATCAATGGTAGTTGATGAGAGGTATGTATCTGAACAGTACATCACATAATAAGTTTTTTGTGATCTTCTCATTATGTAGGGTGTGACAAAATTTAAACTTTGTCTTCATGATTTTACCAGGTAGCTTCTTTCTTATAAATTCCTAGTTTTTGATCAACGTGGGCTGGGTTATCTATGCCTGGAAACGAGGTTGGAGACAGGGTTCATAATTTTTTTGGCCAAGAAAACTTGTCCCAGGGCCAGTATCATTCACAGGTTGTTGACGGAAACTGGTCAGGACTGAGTAGTAATTTGTGGGCTGGAGGCCAGAGAGCTGCCGGTGCTCCTTTTATTTCCAATTTGAAAAATTTCAATGTACAGCAATTAGGTAATAAATCTTTACTCTTAGTTTACTGGTTGATCCTTGACATTTTTGTCACTTGTAATTACAAATTTTCTACACTTGAATGTTTATCACTACATTACTATGATTGGAATTTGAAAGTTTAACTTCATAATTTATAATTATGATGTGGTTTGTGGTGTTGTAGTCTAGTCTAATACTATTTTTTGGCTTGAAGATTCTGAGCAGGGACATACAAGCTCTTCCCATTTGCGGCATGGTTTAAATTTGACACAATCACTGAGGCCTGAGTCTGGCAGAAATCAACCCCAGACCCAGCAAGCAGCTGGGAATGGCTATATGCAGGGACATCAGGTTTTCCAGACCAGGCAGAATGAAGCTAACATGTTGGGAGTGGATACAGAATCCGATTGGCATAACATGCCAAATCTTCCAAGAGGTGTGTCAGTGCTAGAATCACAAGGGAGTGGTCTTGACCTCTATAAGAAAAACTTGACGAGGACTGATGCTGCTGAATCTCCTGTCAACTTTGACTTTTTTGGCAATCAGCAGCAAATAAGTGGCCGGCACCCTGGCATGATGCAATCTTTGGCTCGGCAGCAGTCAGGAGCAAGCGACATGCAGCTATTGCAGCAGCAAGCAATGATCTCTCAGATTCAAGAACTTCAGAGGCAGCAGCATATTCAACAACTGGAAGCTAGGCAACAAAGTTCTGTGACTCCAACTTCCTCCATTTCGAAACAGACTGTTGGAAATCATTCTGCATCTCTTATCAATGGTATTCCCATCAATGAGGCATCTAACTTTATGTGGCAGCCTGAAGTTATGGCAAATAATGCAAATTGGCTCCAGCGTGGTGCATCTCCAGTTATGCAAGGATCCTCTAATGGACTTATGTTATCTCCTGAACAAGGACAGGCATTGCGCTTGATGGGTATGGTTCCTAATCCAGGTGATCAATCTCTTTATGGGCTACCAATTTCTAGCTCACGGGGTACACCAAACCTGTATTCTCATGTTCAAGTAGATAAATCACCAATGTCACAGATGGCTATCCCACACCAGTATTCTCATGTTCAAGGGGACAAGTCTCCTCTGCCAAACATATCAGCCGGTGGTGGTTCATTTTCAGCTCATCAATATGCAGCATTTTCAGATCAAACTAACACAAATGATGGAACTTCAGCTTCAAGGCATGATATTCAAGAGAAAAGTGCGTTTGGTCCCCCTCCTCAAGGTTTGAATATGGAGAACTTGCAGCAAGTAAATTCTGAGCGAAGAAACGTTCCAATGCAAGAATTTCAAGGGAGGCAACAATTAGTTGCATCATCTGAGACATCACAGGATAAGATGGTAGTGCAGGTTCCTCCTTCACAGAGTGTAGCTACATTAGATCCAACTGAAGAGAAGATTTTGTTTGGTTCAGATGACAACCTTTGGGATGCATTTGGCAGGAACACAGGTTTTAACATGCTAGATGGTGCAGATAGTTTTAACGGATTTCCATCCATCCAGAGTGGGAGTTGGAGTGCACTCATGCAGTCTGCTGTAGCAGAAACTTCTACCAGTGATATGGGTGTACAGGAGGAGTGGAGTGGTCTAAGTTTTCGGAATACTGAGCGTTTTCCTGGAAATGAGCGGCCGTCAACTATTGATAACAGCAAACAGGTTCCAGTTTGGGCTGAAAATTTGCAGCCATCTTCCAATATAAATTCAAGACCTTTTCTTCAGCCTGAAGATGTTAACAGGCCCAATGCAAATGCAAACTTTTCTGGTATGCCTGGATTTCATCAGTCAGGAGATTCATCACATGAACAGCATGACAGGTTACAGACTGATTCTTCTCAGAGATCTGTTCCACAATTTTTAGAAAGAGGCAAATGGTTAGACTGTAGCCCTCAGCACAAGGGCCATGCTGAAGGGAGTCATATTTATGGAAATGCTGCTACTTCTCCTGGTGTAGAAATAAATGAAAGGAGTATGTCAGGTTCTTGGAATCATCAACAGACCATGTCATCTTGTAATAGTAGTGCTGAGCTGTTCAATAGGCCAAATGGTTGGAATCTTGTTAAATCAGGCCTTCCTCATAGCAATGCTTCACTGAAAACCCATGATAGTGAAAGCTCAATGCAGACACATCGTGAGAAAACCTCCCAAGAGGAGATGGGCCAGGTTCCTGGAATGTGGGTGCCTGATGGTACTATTGTATCTGTTGGAGTGGAACGCATGAAGTCTGCAGATAGTGTTCGGGGTTGTGGGGAAGATTCTGGTATAGGTGGCATTGCAGCAGTACCAAATTCAGGTGCCACATGGGTTAACCGTCAAAGCAATCAACAGCAGCCTAACAATCTTGATGTATGGAGAGATGCTGACTCCTCAGGGAGCTATAGAGGAAATGAAGGTCCAGGAAAATATCGGCATCATATGGAGAGGAATACCGTAGTTTTGGAGTCACCAAAGAATGAGAAGGGAGATGGTGAGACCCAGGAGATCGAGAATTCTAATAGAAAAGATATGTCATCAGATGGTATTGTATCTAGTCCTTACCACAGAGGAAGTAGCATGAGAGAGAATGTTTATTTTGATGGCAATGATGCACGTAGTCCAAAGTTACCTGCTCAGATCAATCAAAGACCACCTGTAACCCGTAAATTTCAGTACCACCCAATGGGGGATGTGAGTGTTGATGTGCCAATTCACCAACAAACTTTTGGAGGGATGAAAGGTCAAGACCCAAACTACACCGGGCAGTCAAAATTTGGTCATAGTGATGGAGATCATACTGAAATTGAGAAGGTGATTGTAAGACTTAGCCCTCTATCACTGTTACTAATTCTTAAAGTTTCCTGTTTATTAAAGAATGAAAAGTAGTTGACATTCTTTACAACATGACAGATGAATATACCTGCTTTCCAGGGTGATTTAAGAAGCTTGGATGATGCCCCAAAAAGCAAACTTCCTGGTCATATGACTAAAACACTGACATCATTCGATAGAAGTGTTGGTAATTATGCCCCTAACAAGGCTTCATCACCGAGGTAGTTTAATATTTAAAAATGATCCCTTTTTGTTTCAAGCTCAGATAATAGTATATCGTCATGTGGTAACCTTGCCGTGCATATTGTCACGTGTTCATCTACAATCTTTTGTGTTACTGATAATGTGGTCTAATTTGCTTCCCCCCCCCCAGTGCTCTACTGTTCCATAACTTACATAATTTTTTTCTCATCCGTTTGCTTTTATTTCTAAAAATTATTGTAGTCAAAATATTATTGAGCTTCTTCTTAAAGTGGATCAATTGAGGGAGCATTGCATTGCAACGAACACAAGCTCTTCTAACTGCCATTTATCTTCCAGGGTGCCTGAAGCTGAAGCATCTGATGGATCTGTTGCACAGACTCTGCGGAATCAAAGTTCATTGTCGTCTCAGGGCTTTGGTTTGCAATTAGCTCCTCCTACTCAAAGGCTTCCCATGGCATCTTCTCATGGCTCATCTGAAACTGGAGAGAAGGGTCATATGTGGTTGGCTACCTCTCAGGCTCTGCCTTCTCAAGAGTCATTACATGGGGAGCTAAGGAATAATATTTCTGGTTCCTCAGGACAAGTTCTTGATAAATCCTCTCAATTCAGTGCACTGGGAAATGTTCCACAGGCTTTCGCATCTAGCTTTCCCTTCTCTAGGAGTCATGCTCAAAATCAGAATTTGGCTAATGTCAGTGGACCAGTAGCGAGTGCTCAGCGTGCTAGTGTAACACCTACAGATAGGACTGCTTCCATGAATCAGATCAATGAATATCGTGAGAGAGTTCAGGCTAGTGAACCCGAATTTCCATCAGCTCCAGAGATATCCCAGCTGAGTGGTACAGATCAAATGCATCCAGGAGACCATGCCTCACAAATTGTAGCCTCAGAGGCTGGTATAGCTTCTCAACCTACTTATAACTGCGGTGCATCTCAACATGGTGCCCCTTTGAAAGTCTTACATAATGTATGGACCAATGTTTCTAGCAAGCAACTTGCTTCAAAGATCCTGTCCCGTCTTCAACCAAACAATGATTGTGAAATGTCAACTGTGCTGAAGAAGCCAGGTGATGAAGATTCAGAAAAAGATGGCAATGACCTTTCTGGTGTTGGTCCTTCTGTTTATTCTAATAGTTCTGGAGGTAAGGAACAGTTGCTTAAAGAAAGCTCTGGACAGCAGATGCTACTTGAGAGTGCTGATTCTGCTGAAGAGGCTGTAAGTGCGTTACATGGAAAGGAACCTGCTGTGAAGTTTATGCCTGATGCATCTCATTCAAGCCCTGCTGCCACCTCTAGAGATATTGAACAATTTGGTCGGTCTTTAAGGCCAAACAATTCATTCAACCAAAATTTCTCATTGTTACCTCAAGTTCAGTCTATGAAAAGTGCAGAGATTGATTCTAGCAATCGAGATGTCAAGAGATTTAAAGTTTCAGATAACATGTTGGACACACAACCAACGACTTCCAACCATGGTCACTTGTCATATGGGTACAATGCTATGGTGAAAGATTTGTCTGGTAATCATTCTTCAGTGCCATCAGATCCTACTATGCTAAGCTTTTCAACAAAGCCTGGTAATGGACATGACACCAATGCAACTTCTCAGGAGGTTCTTGGATATGCTCAGAGCAATGCTATTAATGTTTCTAGTGGCAACGCAGTGAGTTCTGTAAGAAGTGAGCACTCTTCAATTAGTCCCCAGATGGCACCATCGTGGTTTGAGCAATATGGAACCTTTAAAAATGGCAATTTATTGCCAATGTGTGATGTAAGGAACAAGACTCCTCCAAAGATTATGGAACAAGCTTCAATTGGTCAGAGCCAATCTGATAATTTGCAAGTTCGTAGTTCGATTGAGCAAGTTAATAGTCTTGGTGATACCAGTCAGTTCGGTAATGCTCAGCAGAGTCCAGCCCCTGTTTCAGTTGCAAGTGAGCATGTAGCTTCTCAGATAATGCCTCCTCCTGCAGTTGAACCTGGCATGGTTATGAGGCAAAAGAAACGTAAAAGTGAGACATCTGAACTGGTACCATGGCATAAAGAATTGGCACAGGGTTCTGAAAGGCTTCCTAGTATCAGGTTGGCTAATCTAACTAGGATGTTTTGTACATTCACATTACTTTGTTTCTATAACTATAGGAAAAGATCCTTCAAAGTCTTCATACAGCTTATATTATTGTTGTTATTATTTTCAATTTCAGTTTATGTTACCTCATGTTACTTTTCTGCAACTTTGTTTTAGTTTGTTATCTGTTTTGCAGTTATTAATTTTTTATTCCCTAGAATGACTCATGCTATTTGATTCCTGACAGTGCGGCAGAATTAGACTGGGCCCGAGCCACAAATAGATTGATTGAGAAGGTTGGTTTGTTCATAATTATATTGGGTTGTGAACTGGGTCTGTAAATTCTTTTGTCAATGATAGTGATGATTTCACTTTTAACCATATATATTTTAGGTTGACGATGATCCTGATGTAAATGAAGATGTATCACCAGTTGTGAAGTCAAAAAGAAGACTTGTCTTGACTACGCAACTTGTGCAGCAACTATTTAGCCCTCCTCCAGCTGCAGTTCTCTCTGCAGATGTGAAGCTACACCATGAGAGTGTGGTCTATTCAGTTGCTAGATTAGCATTAGGGAATTCGTGCAGTTCAGTCTCATCGTCAGGACGTGATAAACTCATGCATATAGGCAGCAGAAACATGTAAGAATTCCTGTTCTTTTTGTTGGGGCATGGTATGTAATATGTATTTATCTTTTTTATTCCTTCATTTTGTAAAACTGAAACTTTTCATGATATATATAGCCTTTCCGAGAAGCTTAAATCGCCAGAGAAAATTGATCAGTATATGTTGAAGATTATGGAAGACCTTGTTGGAAGAGCAAAGAAATTGGAAAATGAAATATTGAGGTAATACATGGCTGTTCATTTTAATGCTCAATCCTTTATGATGTTTTTCTTCATGGCTTTATGAAATAGTAAGGCCAGTTGATATATAGGAGAAAATCTCATGTGGCTTATATTTTGCACACATGATGAATGCGAATGTACTGGTGCTTTGATACTCTCTTTAAAATTTTCTAGGTTGTTTGTAATATTTATGTTGTTATTTCTGTTCATCCATTGTGTGGTAGAGGTCCACTGAATTATTCCATTAGCAAGCTAAGGTGCTGTTAAGATGGTATTTGTTTCAATCCCCTTGTTAATTGATTTACATTGGGTTCACTTTCTATGGGATTGAACAGATACAGTCCTTGCTGGCATAACTGGTCCATTACAAATGTAGGTTGGGTCTCATGTTTAAATTGATTGAGTAGATAGGAATAAGTCTTCTGCTGTTGGTGTTGCTTAGTTTCTGCTTTTTGTAATTAGAACATGCTGCAGAAGCTGTGATAGATGGTATTGTAATAGACAGACGGCCAATCTAATATGCCCAAGAAGTTCCTAGAGATGTGAATCAATAACAGGATGCCCCTGCTTTTTGACATTACTCTTAATTGTACATGTTAGTTATAGTAGTTTTAATAAGCTGAAGAAGTTGCAGTAGATGTGAATCAAAATATTGCTTTTTTTTTTTTATGTTTTCCATTTTTTTGTTGCTTGGCTTTTGCTAGGTTATGTTATTTTTTTTTCTTGGTCAAATTCAATTATCTGTATTCATTTGCCCTGCCCTTTCATTCTCTCACTAAATAATCTCTTGATTCTTTTATCATGATGATGATGCAGATTGGACACCAGAGCCTCACTTTTAGATTTGAGAGTGGAATGTCAAGATTTAGAACGATTCTCTGTCATCAATCGATTTGCCAAGTTCCATGGCCGGGGGCAAAATGATGGGGCAGAGGCCTCATCATCCTCTGATGCAACTGCAAATGCTCAGAAATCATGTCCCCAGAAATATGTTACCGCACTTCCAATGCCTAGAAATCTCCCTGACAGGGTACAATGTCTTTCACTTTGATCATTAATTAATTCATTTTTCCATCTTTCTTGGTCAGTTGTCTCCACAACCACCTGTTTCTAGTCCTTTACTTTGAAGTTAATATTATTGCACTTCATCGCAATAGAACCATACAACTGGCAATGTAGGAGAAGAATGGTACTAGATTGTCTCCTCAACCAATGGAGGCTGTTAGATCTTTGCAATCTATATATGTATGTATGTCTGTGTAGATCTTTGCAATCTAGTTATCTTTTTTACTTTTGGTTTTCAGGTTCCAAGCCTTTTGTATATAGTAAGATTTATGCACTCTACTTATTAGTTTTAACCATACCATTTGGCCAGGTTTCGTCTGATTAAATTGGTAGCGTAAGCTGCTTCACTTATCACTTCATTTCTCTCAATTTCAAATCGTCTTCCTTACTTTGAGTATAGTCCTTCTGCATCTTGATCTTGTCCAAGCCCTTCGCGTATCCTGCACCGAGGGACATCCCCGGAAATATTCCTTTAGTTATCTACTTTGAAATTTGAAGCTTTAGTCATAATGGACATTAGCGAGTATTTTAATTTTCGTATTTCATATTTTTATCTTGGGAATGGTTTACTTGGAAAGCGATGCCCCTAATAAACTGGATTTTAGTTCCATTTTCATACCTTTGGTCCTAACAGATGTGATGTTTGAGTGAGAACTTGGGTTCTAATGGATTTTGTTACCCTTCTGATTTAAAAGCAGGGCTTGTTGTTTCCCTTTCTCCACATGAATTAAGAACCTGTGTTTTAACTTGTTTAATTTGTTGAGAAAAAAAAAAAACTTGTTTAATTCAGTCCATTAATCCTGGGCATTGCACTTTAATATGTAATTGATAACACGTTTGTGAAGAATAACTATTATTATGTATTTTATAAGATAGATATAACTCTCACCCTACCATAGGTGCTTTAATAAAATAATCTAAAAGCAAATAGCGTTAGTTGAAAAAATATGGCTATTCTTTTTCCACTAACAAGTCTATTATATTGTATCAAGTCCACAGAAGAACGTCTTGCTCCCTTGTGTCTTACCACAATATTGGAATGAAATTATTTGATTATAACAAGTGCATGGTATCGCCTTCCACTTATGATTTAATAATTGCTTTTGTTATCATCCTTTTTCTATTTTTTTCCTCTCTACATAGCATGGCAGGCGATCTTTTCATTGTACAAGCACATTGTTACTGGTCCCATACGAGAGACCATGACTCTGACATGGCCTGCGAATAAGATGAAAAAGATGCCAAAGAATACGCCAGCGTATCTGTGTCAGGGAAGTACTATATTGGCTTTTTTGACGTTGACGCCATTACTTTGTCCTTTGATATGCTACAATTTGTGACAAATGTCATAAACATCCCTTTGTTTGACTTGCTCAGGCGTTGCTTTTCCTTCGGTCAACTACGAATGACTTGTCTCCCAAAGTTTTAACCATCCAAAAGAAAACTTGGTAGTTGCTGTCACATCCCCCGAAAAAAACTTCTGTAGCACAAAGAGAATAAGACCCTGAAAGCAACTTTGATATGGATAATTAATTTGAACTCAATCATGCATCCAAAAGGCTGCAATAAAATAATTAATTTTGAAAGAGGACTGACCTCGTAGCATGTACCATACATAAAACTATAGAAGCAATCCATTTGTTTCCAATTCATGATTCTTACAACAAATAATGGCAAGCGTTTTCCGATTCTTCTTTTAAATATTGTAAAATCTTAAATATTTGTATGTATGTAATGTTCTAGTGAGATTACTTTAGTAGCCCGATGATGTTAAATCTGGCAAAAAAGACAAAAAAAAATCAGTTGATAACTATTATCAAATAATTGTATTGGCCACGCAAACATGGATCCTGTTGCGACAGCTGCTTATTTTTCCTCACGTGAGATATTCTCTTTCCAAAGTCATCAATAAAAGAGGGGGAACAAAAAAAAAAAAAACAGCCTCTAATTTAAAAGAAATGAATATTCATTAATTAAACTTTCTCAGATGGACATTACTTTCCCCCCATTTTATCTTTAACTAGGTTTCCAAAACCCTAGCCAAAAAAACTAGGTTTCCAAAACCTAGTTAAAAAAAAAAAAAAAAACCTTATGCTTGACCAAGTAAAAATTCGTGGAAGTAAAAAAAAAAAAAAAACAAACAAACAAACTAGGTTCCCGAAACCTTTTACGCAGGCGGACGAATCATAGTTCAAGTAAATAAGATTAACAGCTCAATGTTTTATTAAAGCATTAATATTGCTTTTTTAGCAGTAAAATAAAATTCATAATATTTACAATTATTAGTTATAAATAATGTGATTTATTTTGCACTCCGTGCAACTTGTGTGCTGCCCAGCTGCCCGCCGCATCTAATCGAAGGAGCAAATATTTCATTGGCTTCTCTACTACCCCCGCTTTCCAGCCCATACGCATACATTCGTCCATGTATTTCGGCTATGTTGGATTAGCTTCAAATTACAGTTGGACGGGCCCAAGCCTCAATTGAAAGGAATAAAAGCTCATTGCAAAATAAAAAAGATAAACATAATTTTTTTATCTCTATATTTTACTCACATTTTACTTTTAACTTATACTTTTTTTTTTATATTTTAGATTCTTACATTTTTATTTTTCTTATTTTGAATCCTTTCAAAATCCCTATACTTTGCTCATATAAGGACCAAAAATAATAAAAAATAAAAGTATAAAGACCTAAAACATTAAAAAAAGTATAGGGATCAAAAGTAAAATGAAAGTAAAATATAGGGATCGAAAGTTATATTTACCCAAATAAAAATCATGTCTGGATTGAAAAAAAATTCCAACTGAAATTAAGGTCCAAATGAGCTTTTTATCCAAAGCTCATTTTTGTCTGCATCAATGTTGAGTAGTGTTGGAAGCATTTAATCCATTTAAATTTTTTATTATTATTTATTTCTATATCAGCGTTCAGCATGAGAGGGAGAGCTTTTTCTTATTTTTCACTAACAAAAGCAGGAAAGAGGTTGAAGAAGAATCTCTAATTAATTAACCTATTTAATGTAAATTAATTTATTTTAGATTTCTTAACCCTATTTTTTAAATAAAATTATAATTTAAAGTTTAAGTTTTTTTTAAAAAGAATGTTGGTTAATTACAAAGTTTAATATTTTTTTAAAAAGCCAAATTAATCACAAAATTATATAATGAAATTTATGTCCTTTTTTATTATTATACTTCTAAACCAACTTTTGAATCAAATTATTCAAATAAATTTCAGTTTATCTAACTGATTTAAAAAAAAATGTATCCAAATAAAAATTACGTTAAAATCATAGACATTTTTTCTAACCTCAGTTTGCAATTGTCAGTTGAGTTTTAACTTTAGTTGCAGATTTTTTAATCTAAACACACACTCAACAATCTAAATTAAGTCATTCATCATGCAGACATTTGAACATCCTGTGTAGATTCTGAAATTTTCTAATTATATATAAGTATTTTTCTCTAATTCTTTTCATGAAATGGTTAGATATTAAGTGTCAACACTTCCCTTAACAAATACTAAAATATTAATTTATTACCAACGCCTGTTGATAAAGACGCGGAAATTGTTTTTTTTTTTTTTTGGGAACAAAATATCTGGTAACTGTTAAAAGTAAAGCTCCATTTAAATTTTCCTGAAAGTCATGCTTAGCATGGCATACAAAATGGGCCAACTAGGAGCGAACAAGTTGCTTGCCCCAGGCAAGGAGTTTTTACTGTGCAGCACGCTGTAGAGTGGGCTGATGGGTTGGTGATCTAGCCCACCCTTTATTTATTCTTAATTTTCATATTATTTTTTTTAAAAAATATTGATTATTCGTTTTTAAACAAGGAAAACTTTTCCATAAAGAGTAAATGACAATCAAATTTATATTATTCCTAGTCCTTATTAGGAATTAATAAAAAAATTTTACAACTGGTTTTGTATTGTATAATTTACAAAAAGATCATGATTAGCTACAAGATATCTTTCGTTATTTACAAGAGCTGTTGCAAAATCTGAAGCATTTGGATCTTAAGAAATCATATAAAAATCTTGCTCAGTTAATGCAAAGGTTTTCATGATTTACGAAAGGTCTTGTACAAAATTTGAGACACCAGGATTCCAAAAAGTTATATCAAAACTCGTTTACCATTAATATTTACTCTATGATTTACCTAAAAGGCTAAACTTTTTTAATTGTTATGTGAATAAGTAAAACAATGAAACAAATTTAAATAATTAATACGAAGGAGCAGCAGCATCTAGAAAAGCAAGCACTAGCAGCGACAAGGTCCAATTACTTTCTGTGCCGAACGTCCGGCGCTAGGAGAGATCGAACAAGTCAAGATGTCATCGCATGGTAACGCTTCGTCTGCGAACGATCCTCGTCAGCCGTCTGCGGCGAAGCCATATGTCGCTCCGGTTGTTGCACCGCAAGACATGCCGATCGATTACGCAGGTTTCATCGCCGTCATCTTTGGCGTTGCCGGCGTCATGTTCAGGGTTCGTGCTACTTATCTTTTGGCTGCTTTTTGTTTATTCCTGTACGGGTCTCACTATCCTTGTTTAAATTGTTCATTCAAGCAGTATAAGCTCAGCTCCTGGCTTGCTCTCATATTCTGTGCTCAATCCCTGGCCAACATGAGGAATATGGAAAACGATCTTAAACAAGTTATGATGGCTATGATGTAAGTTTCTGTTTGCTGTTATCTATCTTTCCTGAGCATTTTAGCATTCTTCTCTTTCAATTTCCCTTTGGCTGCGATCTTTATGGGAGCTTTTTAAAATTTCCGTGAAGCACAAAATGGGTGCTTCCACTCCAGTCATATTAGTTATTAGTTATTATTTAAAAAAAGTAGAAATCTTAATTACATACAGGATTGTGAATTTGTGATAGTGGAAAGAGCTGCACTTATGCCTGATATTCCTATGACGATCAATTTGGTAGTCTCTGAAAATATCAAGTAAAAAAGCTTTTTCATTTAGATAGAGCAGTCGTTGTGTGTGTGTGAGAGAGAGAGAGAGAGGATTTTAATTCAATATAGGATTCTCCCCTTTATGATATTGGAAAGAGTTCCAGAACCACCTTTTGGACTAGTACATATTTCAGAAGTGTGACTGTGTTAACAAGTCAAAACTTGAAAAGAATACGGACATGTTCCTGATCCTGAAGGAAGAGGAAGCGATAGGCTAAATCATGAAGAAAGAGGGACAAAATCACAAAACCATTCAATATTGATCACACAACATATTTCTACAGCGTTCTTAATAATTTCTTAGAATCACATGAAGGAAACTTTATGTTTTTGCCTTTATTACTTATTTGTCCTAATCGTATGCCTCATAATGCAGTGCAGAAGGAGAAGTAGCTTGAAGATCATAGTTTAACTGTTGAGTGTTGAAACAAAGAGTTGATTGGTCAGACATTCCATTCCAGGATTATAGAATGCAAATGATGTTTTTTTTTTTTGGCGTAAAATATTTTAGGGGAAAAGTACAAATTACTCCAGTTTTGATTCATTGAGAAACATAATCTTGTACTTGGGAAACCAAAAACATTCGCCTCAACTAGCATCCATTTCCCCAATAATCCCACCAATGGAGATGCCACTGCAGATTCTGCCATTTGTCTGTGTTCCATAAACTATTCCCATTCATATGAAAGCAACAAATCATAGAGTGTGAGGCATCTTTTTTATTAACTATTTGTGCATGGCCCGTTTTCCATACTGAAACTGAAAATAAACCAAACAATAGTTAGTATGAAAATGCACTTGTAGAATGTACTTTTGGCTGCCAGAAGTGAAATCCAAACACCCCCTAAATGTGCTGAAGTGCTTCTTGATTGTATTTTCAACTCAAGTATTTACTTTCTTCTATACACGTGTTGATTGCTAAGGGTGTATATTGTATAGAGATAACCTGGAATCTTGTAGTCCTAAAGAGGATGTTTGTTTAGTTTTGATTTAGGTAGGAATCTTGTAGTCCTAAAGAAGATGTTGGTGCACGAATCTTTTCTCCAAAATAGTCCTGAAACTTACCGAAGCATGCTTCAAGTTTTCTTTTAACTGTGCCTTTTTTTTAAGCAAGTGTATGCATGCTATATGTTTTATAGCATGGAATTGAACTGGTTACAATGCTTTTTGGTCTTGGACCGTTGGACAGACTCTATACCATATTGTAATTCTGTTTTACATTAGTTTTGATTGAATTCTCTGTATCCTATTTAGACAATATATCAAAGTCCCATATCTAATGGTTAGAATCTAAATCAAGAATATATAAGTTTGAGGTGAATCCTACCAAGTGGCTTAAGCTATTTTAGTGTAATGGATGGACTATTCTTAAGCATGGTTAATTAAAAGAAAAAAAAAATCAAACATGAGATCAGATCCATGTAATGGGAGAAATATTAAACATTAAACAATATATTAAAGGTCCCACATCTAATGTTTGGAACCTAAATTATGAATATATCAATTTTGAGGTGAATCTTACTAATTGGTTCATGTTATTTTGGTGTAATAGACAATCAGCATAGTTAATACAAACAATCTAGCACATCCGCCAACAGAACTCAGGGTAAGAACAGACATGAGTTCTGGTTGAGGCTTTGAGTAGCATATAGAGGATTAGCATATACATGATTGATGTTGAGGACTTCTGGTTGCATTTTAATATGAACACTAATGCTGGCCCAAAAAAAAAAATGATGAGAGTCATGAGAGCCTGGAGGAATAGTAGACATTTGTGCATATTGTACTAACAAAGATGGAGGTGCTTGCTTTATTTTATGTTGTTCCAATCTGCGAATTAAAGTGGCTGAATTTTTCCCCCCCCCCTCCCTTGACTGGTTGTTTATTGATGTTTTAAATCTTATCACCAGGTTTTCTATCATGGGATTGATGACAAACTACTTTGGACCTCCTAGACCAGGAAAGCAAAGTTAAGATTCAAGTTTGTGATAAAACTGTGACTTTATTTTTTTGGGATGAAACTGTGATATTACGTGTTCCCTCTTCTTCTATTTGTTCTTCAGTCGACAACATTCAAGATGCCTGTAAAGGCTGGCCACTATGTTTTTTTTTTTTTTTTTTGCCCCCATTTTGATTGGTAAGGCATTGAGCATTAATTGAAGTCTTATCCAAGTCATTTGCGACTACTAGTGACAGTGCTACATGACATTATTGTGTTTTCTTCTTTCAACGAGGATTTGGCTATATTTTTCTGAATATAAATAATTTAAATTATTAATAAGGATGAAGTTTGATTTGATCATGGAAAAATTGAAAAGCACATGATCAAAGAAGAACCAATAGGAGTTTGGTTTAGCAGAAAGGCTAGTCCTTCACAACGTGACAAATTAAGATCCGAATCCTTACATGGTTAACACAGGATTGTCTACATTTAGTTCCTGACAATAACTCGAATAGGATTGCTTTTAATAGGAGGATATCTATGGGTGTTCAAAAAAAAGAAAAAAGAAACCAAAAGAACCCTTACGTGGGGTTAGAATATTACTCTTGGATGTGATGTAGATGACTCATTACATGCACTTCGGGATTGCTCGGAAACTCTTCAACTGTGGCGCTTATTGGTTCCACCTGATAAACATGAGTGTTGTGAATTGAATTTGCATGATTGGTTCAATTGGAATATTTCTTAGAAGAGGTGGCTTATGGATGAGAATTATTAGAGTCTTCTATTTGCCATTGTTTGTTGGAGGGTTTGGCGTAGACGCAGTGAATACATTTTTGAACAGCCAAAAATGACCAATTCTTCAGTGGTGGCAAGCTCAAAAGCTATTTTAAGCAGTATGTAAAATTCCCACAAGAACCTCACTGGAGACTAGATGGAGTCCAGGGCATTGTGGACCCCTTTTGAGCATGGGTGGGTGAAGGTTAACATGGATGGGGCATTCACTTGGGTTACAAATAGAAATGCATGTGGTGGCCTGATCAGGAATTCTGATGGGGCTTTCATACGAGGCTTTTATTTTCAACTTGACGATTGTGACGCCCTTTCGATTGAAATATGGGCGCCTTCATGTGTTGAAACTTGCATGAGACATGGGATTCAAGAAGATTGAATTGGAATCTGATTTGGTTGAAGCTATTGAGTGCCTTCGACATGGGTGCAACTCTCTACATATGGAAGTTGAGCTCATCGCTGAAGCACAGTTGTTACTTCAACGTGATTGGGAGGTGTCGCGCCTGGATCATGATCTTCCCAAAAATAATAATAATAATAATAAATATAGAAAATGTCACCAAAATTTTTAAAAGATAATTTTGAATTTTAAAAATAAAATAAAATGCTCTACAATAATTAGAATATAGTTCGGGAATCGATTATATATGGGGTAGGTGTTAGGCACCCCATATCATTCATCTGCGAGAACGACTATCCTAAGTTGACTAAGCAAAATTAATATAGCCTTAAATAAAGTTTAATTATCAATTAAAAAATAAAAAGGAAAATAAGAAGAAATTAAGATTAAATCAAGAGAAAAATTATTTATTTATATGTTGGACTTGACCTAAAATAAAATCCTAGCGTCTATGTACCTATTAGAAGGATTAAAGTTTACATAATTTAAGGGTAAAAATATGTGTCGATTTGTTAGTATTTTTTTTAAAAAAATATTTTTTTCAAAAAATATTTTTAATTGAATTGGCATCTTTTAATTAAAAAAAGAACTTATTCCCTTATTTGATAAAAGATTTTTTTAAAAAAAATTAATTGAAATTCCTGCGGAAATTCACAAAATCTCATATAAAAATTAATTTATTTTTTATTTGTGAAGATTCTAAAATCTCATACAATATAAAAATTATTTTCCAACCAATTTATATTTAAAAAAAGGCTTTTCTTTTTAAAAAAATGGATAAAATAAATCAATTAAGCATTATAATTTGTGTGCCTATGGTGGCTCAATGCCACAAACGGCATATCAATACTACTGACCTGCAAAAACTTTAAAAATTTCACACAATATGAATAAAAAAATATAAATGGCTCAAAAAGAGATAGAGAGAGAGAGAGAGAGAGAGCAAACCTTTAAGGTTTTATTACTTGTCGCAATTTGGATGATTATTTCAATCATTTTCATCTTATAAGCAAAAGAAATAATCAACCAATATATGTGCTTGAGTGGATGTGTTTGTATATGCTCGTTAGAACAAAATCACACACATTTTTTTCCTGCCTACATGAATTAAAAGCCATACTTGGGATTGGGGAAAAAAAAACTGATATTGGTGGTTTAAGTGATTGACAGGCAAAAAAAGAAAGAAAACAAAGAAAAGGAAACAAGAGGGGGGGGGGGGAATAGAGGAAATGAAATTAAAGAAGACAATATTAAATTAAAACCAAAAAGAGAGAGGAATGGAAAGCACATACAAATATATATATATATATACACACACATATATAGAAAGGGAGGCAGGCATGCACGTTCAGGACCCACAAAACAAAAAACAAAAAATAAAAAAAATTGATTGATATACTTGGCGAAATCAGATTCAAAACGGCTGGGGAAGGAAAGAAGAAAATGGAAAAAAAAAAAAAAAAGAGTGAGTCATGGGGAGGATAAATCAAATCCGACCCACCCAAGACAGCCAAGGAATATATATAAACAATTGAATAAATGAAAAACATGAAAATAAAAAATGAAAATAAAAAAGATTATCAAAATGAACAGCCATGAGATTTTCTTAGGATATTTTTAAAAATAAAAAATGAAAATAAAAAAAATTATCAAAATCACTACTCATCTTTTGCCTTTTAACCTTTGATATTTTTAAAGATCATACATGTGATTTCAAATGAGAAGGTTGACTTTTCTTAGGATATTATAGAATAATAAGCAATTGATACTATTTAGGGCACCTCTACCCAATTCTAGCCCCATATTATGATGAGTAGAGATGATATAAGAGAATAAATGATCATTCTCTACCTTTTCAATTAACTCTTTCAAGCTCTTTTATTTGTTGTCTCCTCTTTTTTTCCTCCTCCTCTTCACCTTGATCTCCACCCCTTTATAGATGAGAATTAGGGCTTCTCTCTTTAATGATTAAATCCTACCAAGTCACAATTTATGATTAATATTATTTGACTTTTACTATTTTAAATCAAGGCCCAATTTTGAGGATTGGATTCTCATTTCATTTCCCTAATTAAAAACTTATATCAAGACATAAATTTAGGGATTTTTTTCATTTAATTTCGTTTTTTATTATTTTATTAAAAAAGGCTTTTCAATTATTTTTTTTATTCATTCATTTTTTGTGGAGGCTTGAACAAAATGAGGTGTTCACAAGAGGTAAACCTGCTGTCATCTGACTAACAATGCTGCAGATTAACTTGCATAACATGGAATGCATGCAATGCGTGTGTTTTACCATACGAATCAAGTGCTTGAGGATCTTGCTTGTGTGTTAGCTTTGGACATTACCTCGACTACTATTGGTGTGCGCTAAGCTAGTTTTGGTTTTGGTTTTGTATCTAAAAAAAGAATATTACTCAAGGAGTTTAACTAGCGTGCTAGTGCCAGAGTTGTTAAATATTCTCATTCAATGAGTTCTGTTTGTGTATTCAACTTTCTCTATTTTGTTTTACTTTTAGTGGAGAATGAGAAAGAAAGACTATACTTTTAAGTCGAAATGTATGAAGCTTTTGTTGGCTTGATTTGATTGTAATTTTCACTTTAAAAAAAGCATATTACACACTAAAAATGAATTTATCTTGTTAGCTCGTTAGATTTAATATTATCAATCTTCTAAAATCCATGTTTATCAACCTAGATCTCACGTGCGGTGAAGTGAAAAAGAACTTTAAAGCAAACTAAAATAACTCTTCGAGAATGGATACCGATTAAATGAGGAAGCTGGTTAAGTGAGTCTTGCTATACTAAGACATGAAGTATGATAAAATTATGTGGCACTGAATCAAATTTTCCATTTTTTGAGTCTTGCTAAGATAAAGTTGAAGAGTTAAGTTATAACTGAGTTAATATTATAGGGAGCAAATAATTAATTTACATAAAGCATTGCATGTTCATTAGAAGAGATAACGCATGATTTTTCTACCCGCCTTCCTTCATACTCTCTTTGTTTTCAAATATACTCCTCCTAGTTTTATCTATGAGGTTAAGAGAAAAGAATTTTTTTCATTATTTATAAGTCACGTTATTAAATTTTTATTATAAATTTTCCTTTTTATCTTTTATTGAATGTTGAAAAGAAAAAAAATATATTGTTAAAGTATGTATGTTTAATAGGAATATTTGGGCTAAATATGAAACGTCGCTTGTCAAAGCATTTGAGAAGGCCACAAAGCCACATGGGTCAAGTGACTGAAAAGTTAGGCCCAATCAGTAACCTAAATAAAGGGGTCAATCCCAAGCTCAGTGGAAAGATCTAGCCAGATAAGCATGTCGAAATCTTGTCAGTTGTAAAACCACACTGTGGACTATTGGCACATAAAGATATGATCTTAGCCAATCTTGAATATCGCAGGAATAGCATCATCGTGCCTAAGTATCTCGTCAAGACGAGTTGGTTACCTAAAATGGAAGACAGTGAGTAAAGACCATGTTATGAGTTTCGCAGGATTCTTGATTCTTCATAAGAACATTCTAGGTTCTAAGGGAGAGGCTACTATCACTCTATTACTATAAATAGAGTACTAAAGCACAAAAGAAAACAATAGTTAACACTTGAAAGACTCACATTTTGCACCCATAGCTCTTAGGTTTGTCAATTAGTTTTATTCTTCAGTTTAGACTTGTAATTGTTTCACATTTTAATAATAATCAAACACTTGTTCTATTAAACTTTGTATATTTTTTACATCTAAGTAAACTATGGTAAGAAAGCTTGGTGACTCTTTTTGTTATCAATTAAGACTTAGCATTCACGCTTGATAACTTATCGTTCTTCGACGAACAAAGAATAAAATTTAAAATTTATTAAATTTCAAGACAGATTTAATGAGATTTAAAATTTTTTTAGGTATTGATAAAATATATTGAAAGTGATTTATAGATAGGAATAGAGAAGTAAGATAATTTCAACCAACTCACACAATTAAAAAAAGTTAATTATTTTCAATAATTATGTTTGAAATTCAAATATTTAGATTGAAATGTCTTTGTAATTAATGACTTATTTTTTCTCTAATTTAATCATACTATCCATTTATGAGAGACTATTTAAAAAATTGCAATTAATACTTCTTAAAATTTATGATTTTATTTATAATAAAAAGTAACAAAACATAGGGTAATTTTTCTTATATTTGAAAATAGAGGAAGTATCTTTGTTAATGTTTTACAAATGCATATAGAAACACCATGGAGGACCTATAAAATCTGCGGGAAATATTTTTGGGGCTAAATGGAAGGCATTTTTAATACTAAAAGCCTTGAAGTATTGTCTCTCTCTCTTTTTGGGGCTGATTTTAAATTTTTTTGGCTTAATTTTAATTTTAATGATTTTTTGAAGGTACTGAAAATAGATGGATCATTGAATCGATTGGGACAATGGTTCAAGAGTTAATGGTATTAAATTAATTATAAATAAAATATTTTATTAAATTGGTTAGAACACTAATTTAATAATTTATATTTAAATCAACCAAGTAGAGCTTCATTTCTATAGGAAAAAAAATAATAAAATCTCTCTTAATTATATAAATAATAATTTAATCCTTTAAAATAATATAATTCTATTGAAGTTCACAGACACTTTTTTATCATTAAAAAATTTATGTAAATGACCAAATTATACTTATAAGAATATCAAAAATTTGACATGCGAAGTTGTGATTTGTTATTGCATTGTTATGAATACAAGAATAAAAATTGTGATTATTTAAACAAAACTTGTAATTATTATTTTTTATTTTTAACATTTATAGTAATATTATAAATTTGATATGTGAAGTTGTGAATTATTGTTGTATTGTTGCAAATATAAAAAGAAAAATTATTACTATTTAAACAAAACTTGTGATCATTTTATTTTTAACAAGAATAATTTAATCATTTATATAAATTTATTAATTACAGTAAAGTTTTTAAAAATTTTAATAAAATTATAACATTTTGAAATATCAAATTATTATTTATATAATTTAAAAAATTGTATTATCATTTTTTCAATTCTATGCTATGTATTTTTCATGTTATGAAAGTGGTATTTCTCAAGAAAATCCACAAGAGGTGTTGCTTATTTTGCAAGTTTTCTTGCTCAGTTTTTTGTGGACTTTCCATTTGGTCCTTGATACAAAATTTGTTTCTCACTTGAGAAATAAAGTTAGCTACGCGTAAGATGAAAACAAATAAAGTTATAATGACAAGGATTCTTTCTTAATTTTTTTTTCCACATAAAAATAAGGACAACGTGTCAAGACGATGCAGAGCCAAGTCAGCGCCGATCATAAATTCTTTTGCAATGTCCGGTGGGTGCTACCACCCAAGAGAGAAGAAAGCGCGGTTTCTGGTCGCTCTGATTCACGGGCGATTGAGTCCCGCCTTTAGCCTCAAAACAGTCTGCAACGCAAAAACAACGTTAATCTGATCCTTGGAACTACAGAGTCTCCTTCGAATCACCTGTAGGACACACTGAACAGAGGTTCCTTCAGGAAGGGTCGAAATCTTCTACGATTTTTTCACTTTTATTTATCATCCTCCGTTGTCCAAAAATGGGCTGTCCCGCTAGCAAACACGCTGATACGAAGGCTACTAGAATTGCGCGCTGGCGATCCACAGGCATTGTTGCTTTGCGCGACTCCAAATTAAAGGCATCCTGATCTTGTTCCTCTCTTGTTTTAATTTGCACTTGATTCTATTTTCGTGTGTGTGTGTGTATTCTCTTCTTTCGATTTATTTTATGATTATACCATTCGATATATATTCTGGGTTCTGCTGTATTCTTTTCATTTTTACCTTTTGTTTTTAAAATATTGCTCTCTTTGTATTATACTGCTAGAATCTATTTTGCCGAGGCTCACGATTATATATCAGCCGGAATGATGATTGGTACTACAAACGGCGCATTCTGTTCTTGAATCAGTTTACATTTCAAATTGCAATTTTGTGCTCTAGATGATTGATGCACGTGATTGGGTTAATGAGTGTCATTTAATTTGTGTCTTATCTAATATGAATCTTGGGATAGAATGTTAACGGCCAAAAGTTGTGCAATTGACATTATTGCTCCATGTTGCGGGAGTGCACCACCAGGTCAACGACACCTCGCGCTTTATTTTTCTCACTGCTTGTGCTTGGTGACCTCCTGTTATATTTGTTATACTCTTGAGCTTTAACTCATTATGTTCGTGGCACACTAATTTTTGTGCATAAATGTCTTGTATTGAGAGCATTCATTAGCATATATCACGAATGTAACTCATTTGCATGCCCAGATAATAGAAAGGAAAACTTATCAACTAATCTCTGCATTATCATCTTATAGATACTGGACATCAAACATGCTTGCTGTATAGATACCTTCCATCAGATCATTATTGGGTGAGAGTAACAATCATTTGGTATACTGGTTTCTATTTTTGTTACTTTTCAGCTTAACAAGTTTGATTTGCTTCTTTTTGTGTTTACTGATGTATGTCTGTGTCATTGTATGCCTATCCATACTGTGATGATGCTACAAGCTTACCTTGGTGTATTTTTCTCATTTTCTTCTAAACAGACATTTCCAGATGAAATTCTTGATCTGGACAGGTCTATACACACTCTTGATTTGACACATAATCGAATAGGTATGTTGTTTTATGTTATTTTCTTTAATTTCATTTTCTGCTTTATAAAGAGCAGCGTGGGGCCCTGTATTTTGTTCTTGAAGCCTTTGTTCTAGAGCTGACTGTACTATGTTGACCTCCATTCAAATTACCTGGAAGTTGTGTGAAAGATTTTGTTGTTGTTATTATTAATTAATTTCTTCACTGCAGCTGACATTCCTCTGGAGATGGGCAAATTAATCAACTTACGGCGCCTGGTAAGAACTCTGTGTTCTAATTTATGTCTCCAGCCTGCTACTTCTAGTGAACACAATTATTTTTTTATTAATTTTTTCTACATTCTTTGCTATATATTGGTTTTAAGTTTTGAAAGAGCAATACATGTGCTTTACAAAGTTTTGGCATCAAAACCAGAAGCTCTCTTTTGCTTGAATCTACACGATGTAGTAATACAGTAATTATTGGTTTTAGATAGTGAAGTGTCTTCTTCAAAATGCACCGACAAATGATATTTGAAGTCTATGTACTTCAATATGTCTAATTTTCTGTTATAGAAACTTGGGAAAACATAATTTTAGGTTTTTGCACTTTGCTTAAGTTCTGCTATAAATTCTCTGCACTTTTTTTCAGTGTTCTAGGTCCCTGTACTTTTTTTTCCCAGTGTTCTATAAGGAACTAGAACATTGTGTAAATTAATGATTTATAATATTGAATGAAGATGTTGAAATATTAGGATTTTTGGGTCTTTTGAGGTGCAATTAATGATTTTTTTTTTAAATACCCTTAACTAGGGTGTAATTAATAAGGTTTTCTAATTAAGATACTCTATTAAATAGGAGTAAATATGGAAAGAGTGTGTAATTTTAAAAACAATTAACTAACTCATTGAGGGTGTAATTCAGTGAAAAAAACTTTATAATATTGGACGAAGAGAGTATGTAATGTCAACTGTCAATCATACTTGTCGTTGCAGAATCTATTACCTATTAGGGCACGTATATTATTACTTCAATTCCAACATATCAATTGTTCCTTTTAAAGTTAAGTTTCAATTTGCTTCCTCCACGCATTAATTCTGCAGAAGCATAAAATTCATTAATTTTGTAGACATTTTAAAATTCTTTTCTTTTCTAAACATGGGTCAGGACTCTAAACACAGTATAACTTGCTATTCTTTTGACCAGCAAAATACCATGTCATTACAGCATTTGCATGCATTGCTACTTATATAAGGAAAGATTGGTTTAAAAAAATCTTTACTTCTTTAAGTTTTACTAATCTTACAGGTATTAGCTGATAACCTCATTGAGAGTCTGTCAGTGCATTTGGGAAAACTACAATCTCTAAAAATCATGATCCTTGATGGGAATAGAATTACTTCCTTGCCTGATGAATGTAATTCTCTTCTCTAAATAAGTAATTTAACATGTTTATTTTTTTAATTTTTTGGAAAATGCATAATTTTAATTGTTCCATGACACACGCTCAATGTAAGTTTTCTTAGTTGCGCTTTATAACTTAAGGTATATCTTTTTTCTAGTGGGCCAGTTGGTGAAGCTTGAGCAGTTATCCATCTCAAGGAATTTGTTAACATGCTTGCCTGTGACTATTGGCAGCTTGCGAAGTGTAAGTAAATATATCTATTAAAGGTTAATGCCATGGAACTTGCTACTCCTGTGGTTTGGGCATTTGTGGATTATCATTGCTACATGATTGAAGAATATGAAGTGGACATTTAGTTCCTGTTAACTTTGGTCTAAGTTGTCTTCTGAAAAAAAAAAAAAAATCTTAGAGCATGTTTGGATTAACTTCTAACCTCAGTTAGAAGGAACCAAACTGAAGTTAGGAACTAAAAAGCTCAAAAAGTATTATTTGGATTAACAAAAATTTTCAACTTAAGTTATGTTTAAACGAGCGTTTTTTTAGAAGCCAACAGACCTGGCTTTTTTACCTTGAGCATTAACGTTTGGTCGCTTCCAGCATTTGCCTTTCATATTTTTATGCTTTCTCTCTCCTCATTCATCTGGCACCAGCTTCGCTTTCTTCCTGTGCGTCATCTCATCAGGCTCCTCCTTACTAGCATTGTCTTCATCTTCCAATTCCTCAACCCCGTTGTCACCAACGACAGCTGCTGCGGCACCATCCTTAACAAGTACCTTGCTGACGCTCTCCTCATCATCTGTGCCTTCAAATGTGTCTTCTCCAGTTTCACTGGTAGCTACACCAGCAGCGAAGGCGCCCTCCACTATGGCGTTGTCACAATCAAAGGGATATGGCCATCTCTAGCGTCGGACGACGTCGACTTGAAGGCGTACAGGTTGAGGTTTGGGGACTTCGTGCATGCTTTGCTTTTGCTGTTAGCGTTCGCCATTTTAGGACCGTCCAGTGTTTCGACCCCAAGTTTGAGACACAACAAAAGGTTCTCTTACCGGTGTTGCTGCTAACAATCGGAACGCTTTCTGGTGTGGTGTTCATGACAACCTCACACTTTCTAGTCTGTTAGAGGTTGATGGGCAGACCCACGTTGGACGCCCAGATGTCCCTTCCTTGACATCCAATATTGTTTAAGACTCATGAACATTTTTTTAGTTCTGTATGAGGAGGAAGAATGTTATGAACCCTTCTTCCAGACCTTTTTCCTGATGAACTTTCAAAGTAAGAACCTTTTTTCTGTTCATCAATGGAGTTTTGGGTTTGTTCCAGAGGCTTTTCTTTACACTCCTTGTCTACTGCTGCTCGAAACATTGGCTGAGACTGTGGCTCTATCTTAGTTAGAATCTGGGAAGCACATTCATAAGAAAAAGGTGGTCACTACCATGAGGGAGGGAGCGATTGAGCGCCGTGAGGCTTAGGGAGGGAGAATATGAAGGTGATGTTGTGTGAGAGAGAAAAGAGGGTCACGATAGTGAGATCAGAGATGGTGAGGATGGTGAGTGAGGATTCGTGGATGTGAGTGGGAAATGAGTTTTGGAATCAAAATTTTATTTTTTTATATATATGAAAATATATAAAAAAAATTCATGTTTATTTTGATAATTAAAAATTTCAACTGACTTTTATCTTAAATCATCCAAACAAATTTTAATTTATCTAATTGACTTTTAAAAAAAAGATATCCAAACATAAATCACGTTACATTTACTGGCTTTTTTTCTAACTTCAGTTTGTTAACCTCAATTAAATCTTAACTTCAGTTGTAAATTTTTTAATTCAAACACACACTTAAATATGTAGTTTTAGTACTCATTAAGTCTTATGGTTAATAATCTTAAAATGAGGAGTGAATTTTTGTCATAGACGCATACTAGTATTTACATGTGGTTCAGGTTAGAACAATGAATTCTCATAATCTGTTAGAACTGCTCTTTAAATGTTTTTCTTATGATGGGCCTGTTGCTCTAGAACCAGCAGCCAAAACCAACAAAATGTTAAATATAATGACTAACTTTTAAAGTATGATGCTCTTTTTGACTTTTCAGCTGGTGCTTTTAAATGTGTCAAATAACAAGCTAAAATCTCTTCCTGAATCTGTTGGAAGTTGCTTTTCTCTGGAAGAATTACAAGCCAGTGGTATGCTTCCTAATCTGCTGACTTTCTTCATACACGCATCGCATGTACATGCTCATGGCCATAGCCTACACTTTTCTGCGTGTGTACTCATTAGGTTGAGTTTTTCCTTGTATCAAAAGCAAAGAGATTGGAGGGCTTTATAAATCTATATTATATTGGAGGATGGTTTATCCTCCTTTTTGTACTCTTTTTTTTCATCCATAAAATTTATTTTATGATGCATACTTACTCAAGAATATTGTGCTTTGCAAATTTGCTCTTATTCATAGTTGACACCTCTGATTTTACACCTAATCATTCCATAGGATTGATTGTGGGTGCTTGATCACCTTTTGATAATCTACTCTGGACCTCTGGAGCAATGTGTCATCTTTCTAGTTTTTGGGTTTTGTTGTGAGGTAGACTGAAGCTAAGGTTGGCAGTTTTGTCAATTTATCAGATAATCTTATTGGAGATCTCCCCCTTTCAGTGTGCAATCTCACCTGCTTGAAGTCAATTTGCTTAGATAACAATGAGGTGAAGCTGGTACTGCTTTGCAATCTTGAAACTCCAGTTTGGTGGTTTTTATCTGTGATTTAATGCTAGACATAATTAAAGATTGGTGTTGTGGTGTTTTATTTTTCCTGTGTCTTTGGTTTCTCATTTTGCTTTTTTTTTTTTTTTTTCAGCGTGAGCATCTTGGCTTGCTCTCGTTCTTTCTCCAATAAAATGACAGCTGGCTATGCAATTGTAATGTAAAATTTTGAAATATCTAAAAGATAATTACCAATAATTTTGAACATCTGAGCCTAAATGTCATAAAAAGTAGACAGATTTGCCTTATGCTATGCTAGGCAGGGGAGAAAAGTAGGGAAAGAAAAAAGTGGGAGGGAAAATGACATTTTCTCTTGGTTGGCTAAGGAGAGAAAAATGGAAGGGCGAGAAAATTAGGAGGAAAATAACACATGTTTTTTTCCTCTCACTTTTCTCTCCGAATGTAGGAAGATTTTGGAGAGAAAACTCAATTTCCAAATTTATCTATGAATTGTTTTGTTTTTTTACCGGTTGCCTCTTTCCATTTAATTCTAAATTTTTCCTTACTTTAAAATTTATATTATTATATATTTAATACTTTTAAAAATAAAATCTAAAATTGGACAAAATAATTTTCCCTCCAGCATTGGATAAAATAATTTACAATTATATTTTTATTTAATAAGTAATATACAATAAAATTATATAAATAGTATGTCAAAATATTAACTTTCATCATATATAAATATTGTTCTGCAAATAATAAGATTATTATTGTTCATGTGAAATTAATAATTTTTCCCTTCTCCAGTTTTTTTCTTGCTCAGCCAAACATAAAAAGAGAAAAGTACGTCCCTCCACTTTTCTCTTCTCTCCTCCCTATTTTTTCTCGTGAGCCAAGCACTGCATTAATGATTATGTTGAATTGCAAATTAGCATGGAGATGTTGTTTTTTATATACTAAGTAGGTTCACACAAATCCATAATTGTTATCCAGTTTCTTCTATTTGTTTTACAGGTCTTTATTTTTTTTGTCAATCGTTATCCATTTTGTCAATCATTCCCTGTTAGATTTTAATGTTAGCTTATAATGAATTTATATATCTTATTTTATCAGTATTTCATTCATTAGTCTCTTTCTGTTAGCACTTTATTATGCCTCACAGCTGCAGCATCTGTGATTTAGTCTTTCCGTGAGTTTTGAAGATTTATAGTTATGGATTATTTCTAAGAGAGGGACACATGTCACCACATGACTTATGATCTATTAACCACCCGATGCTTGTGATGCTAGTATCTGGTTTTTGCCCAAGAACTTGAACAAGAGAAGTTACATTCTTACCTCCTCCTTTCTTGACTATCAGTTGACTTTCTTCTTCCTTATCCTTTCTTGACTATCCCCTGGTCTCATGAACGAAACATTTTATGAGGTGGATGAATGAAACAGCAATTACTATGTTGATTATGGAAGGCGTTTCTACTTACTAATATTTCCGATAAGTTCTGAATCTTATTCTTGTCTTGGAAAGACACATCTTGTATAAATAGCACATCAGAATCTATGTTCTCGATGATAGTCGTTACTGCTCTAGTTTGAACTTTTCAGTTGCTGATCAGATCTTTTATGCTATAAGCCTTGTTGCTATGCAATTTTGGCAATAATTTCCTCTTTTTCCTCCCCTTTGTTCTTAATACCTACATGTTTCGAGCAAATACCTGTATAACGTTCCGGTCTGTTTTTGGATAGATACCGTTGAACCTATTAAAGGATTGTAAAGCTTTGCAGAACATATCTCTTCACAATAACCCTATACCAGTGGATTTGTTTCAGCAGGTATGGTTTTGATCTCGTGCATTTTCTTTTCTTTTTTGTTTGTCTTTGGGCTAAAGGAACAGAGTTGTTCAAGAATTAATACAATTTAACTACGGTGAATACTGTAGATGGATGGGTTTGCGGAGTTTGAAGCGAGAAGGAGAAAGAAGTTTGACAAACAAATTAATTCAAATGTGATGATCAGTTCCAGATGTCTTGATGACGGTGTCGATGTATGATATATTTTCTAGCTAGTTATAGCCACTCACAAATCAAACGGGATTTTACGGCTGTATAGGCTTTTGAGTTTTGATGTAACTTTTTTTTTTTTTTTTCCTTTTGGGCCAAAATTTTGATGTAACTTGGAAAACAGCTTCTTTTATTGTACTTGATCCTCTCTTTCCCTACCCATTTGCCTGCAAATTTGCTGGCTTCACTATAATGCTACTCTCCGTCACTCAGTTGATTTTGAATACGTGTAGATTTTGAATCAGAGCCATTGTCATGAAAATAAAAACCGGAGTCATCTTTTGTACTCCTCTGTTGTATCACAGGAAAACTGGTAATTGATACTAAAATAGATCAGGAGATTATAAAAACACATCGAAGAGACCCAACAAAGAAAAGGACATTGCAAACAGCTATCAAAGATACATTCCATCTGTTGTCCGTGCTTGGGATTCAGATTTACACAAATATGCTTTGTTTGTTGCTTATTTTCCTTTGATGCACTGCTAAAACATTTGATCAGACATTCAAACACCAAATTTTCTTGGAGTGTCTTTATAAATTTTGCAGCACAGCCTAATTTCTCCTTGCAGCATTGTTTTAAGAACCGGACCGACAGTAAATCAGAGTCATTAACAATTGGTTTGAACCCAAAAAAAAAAAAAAAGATGTTATGCGTTAAATGAGAAAGTCCTGCAAGTCCTTTTAAACTGTAGTGTTGGCAGAAAGTACGGGGGAAATGAAACGGTTTTCTTTTACATTCAACAATTTTACATATTGAATTTTCATTTGTCTTCGGACAATTCTTCCTTCGATGTTCTCAACTAATCAGGTAAGTTTGCATGCTTGGTTGTCCTTTTTTGTTTTGAAAAAAAAAAAAAAATATGTTGTCTTTGTCGCAATTACACGCGCGCGCGCGCGCTCACGGTACAATTTGATATAAAATTTATGGTGAATATTAATATTGGTAATTAATTATTGCTACAATTATTTTACACATTTTCATGAGGGAAAAAAAAATTTGCAACGACCAATTGAACTCCTGAATCCAGTCGAGCTTTTTTTTTTTTTTTTATGCATAAAGGTTCATTTTACAATTGCTAACCAACAAAAAAAAAAAGTTCAGTTACGGACTAATGTAGAGATTTAATTTCAAGTGAGTTAAGTTTTTTTTTAAATTTTAATTCAATTTAAGGAAAAAAAGTCAAAATAATTTTCAGAGTGAAAAGATAAAAATATCCTTTATTTGTCATGTAGAATTACTAGTTATTAATTTCTTTACTTCATTTATTAATTTATTAATATGAATTATAAATTTCATGAGTTAACATGTTAATAATTATGTAAGACTTGACATCAATTTTTCAATTATAAACAACAACATTAATTATTAAATTTCTAACTTTATTTGTTAATTTATTAATATTAATTGTAAATTATTGACAAGTCTTGTAAATTATTAACAAATATTGTAATTTATAATTGATGTTAGTAAATTAATAAGTAAAGTTAGCAAATTAAAAATTAATGTTAATAATTGTATGACAAATAGATATAATTTACAAGTAATATTAGTAAATTAATAAGTACAGTAAGAAAATTAATAATTAGTGATTCTATATAACATATGAAGGATATTTGGATTTTTTTGCCGTTAAAATTTTTTTGACTTTTCTTTTCTAGATTGAACTGAAATTTTAAAATTTTTTTAGACCCACCTAAAATTAAATCTCTATAATGATAAATTCTCCCCAAAAAAATTAAATCCTAAACTTCCTTCCTAATACAAAAATAAAACAAAATGTGGATGCAAACTCGTGAAGAATTTATATATTTATTTTCTTTCTATTTTATGACTCATGTTACTTTATAATCTGTTTTGTAGATTAACTTAAAGAATAAGAAATTAAATAATACAGCAGTATTGCATTAAAATTTTTCTATCTGATTAAATATCATTAACAAGATCAAAATGAATTTTTTTTTTGACTGAAATCAAAATGAAATTGAACTCTTTCTTTTTTAAAACCGATAAATGAAAATGACTTGAAGTGCCGCATCTGAGTGCTACGTGTTTTTACCTGATTGGCCAGAGAAACGTTAATAGTAACGTGTACAGAACAGATTAGAATCTACCGTCATTGTTTGTCTCCAAGATTCCGCGCCCACAGAAATCAGGTTGGGCCCCAAAAAGAGCGAAACACAAAACATTTCACACAAACTTCCCTCTCATCGTACGCCACCTGTCAGGACCTCCTTACGCTATGATGTGATTCAAGAATCTGCCCTCGAGGTGCTGTTCCCAGCTGTCCCTTATATATGGCTCTCGCGTTCACCTCACCTTTCTCAGAGTGAGAAGGGCATTTCCCGTAATTAAGAGAAGATACGTGCCCTTTGTTTAGTTATTGCGTCGTTCCCGTTTTCTGACAAAATTATAATAATAATAATAATAATAATAATACGAGCTTTGCCCTTTTTGGTCTTTTGCTGCGTCTTCGTTCCATCTCGATTTTGTTCTTGCTTGATTCGATCTCTTAATTCGTTGTGAATTCTTCTAATTGATTACCAGCTTCCGTCAGCTCTTGTTTTTCTGCGTCGGTCAATCCCCATTTTCGGTTGTATCAATCGTCTTATCCATCCTTAGGGTTTCGTTTTGGAATATTCTTGATCTGTCTTTTCCTCGCCGGATCTGAGAAACTCCTTTATTTTATGTCCGATTTTAGTTATGGATGTATCTTATAACTTCGTATCGTTTCTGTTTTTGTAAATTATTTACATCGTTTTGTATTTTCACGATTTATAGTTATAGATCCGTTGATGGTTTGTTCGGATTATAAGATACCACACCACATAGTCTGATTAAGCGAGATTCTTTTTTTTTTTGACAATAAGGATTAATTATTTTTACTCGACTTCCTTCGTGCCGGAGTAGATAGATCTAGGGTTAGGGTTTTCTGCAATTAGGACTTCTTCTTTTTTGAATAAATTTCTTTGGGGAAAGTGTGGAATTAGGGTTCACTTGCCTGAATACTCCGAATTGGAGCCATTATTGTCTTGTTCAGGGTTGGCGATAAAGTTCTACGGGAGACTGGATTAAGGTATATGTGGTTTTCATTTTGGTAGTTTCTTGCAATTTGTACATTTATTGTTATGGTAATTTGTATTCAAATTGCTGAAGAAAATTTAGCAGTCTAATGACTAAGTTGTCCCTTAGGGGGAATAATTACGTTTGTCTGAAAATGATGCTTTCCAGGCTCTATCAAGTAAAGGGTGCATGGATCATTGGGCCCACTATCCTTTCTTGATGATATTAATAATATTAATTAATTTAATGTTAATTAACTAAAATAAGAGTCATTGTTTCGGTAATCGCAATTTCCGCTTTTAGAGTTTTGAATTTTGCTTGACAATTGGCTGCTACATTCGATAGAGCTCAAGTTGCTTGCTTCTTTCGTTATCATTCCTCAGTTCTGATGTGATTGTTCATTCCCTCTTTTGCTTTCTTCCTTTATTGGCAACTAAAGAGTCTTCTGATATAAGTGCATGCAAGCTTCTGGTTTTACTTTTCAAGGTTTTACTTATTAAGAAAAGGAAGCATCGAATTTTCTAGTCATTTACTACCGCATGTGGCTGTTTTATTTGTATCACATTGTGGCGTTTAGAAGAGTAACAGTAAATATTTAGTACGTGTGAGTGTGTATATGATATTTAACTGCTGTTAAAATTGTTTTAGTAGCACTCTTTTATTGTTGAAACTTCTGCATATACTTATTTGTTTGTTATGGATTGAGAATATGCTTGATTTTAGTTCAAATACAGGATTCTTATAGTTTTACTTCGGATAATATTTAGCGGGAAATTATAATTGGTGTTTAGTTGATTGATTTGAGGTCCTGAATGGGTAATGGAACTTACTGAATAGTGTACACACTTAATCTATTTCTTTAATCTTAAATAGATGGTTCGAATTGAGATAATGGTAGAAAAAAAAGATGGGAACAGTTGTCCTGGAAAATCCTATAGAGATCTAGTGGTTATGGAAATTAGTGAGTGGAGTTTCAAATATGTTTCTCTAAGCAGGTCATGAATAACTTATTTTAATAATAATATGATCTGGCAATTTGCGGACAAAGGTTGTTACACGTTCCTTATCCCTCTGAGAAACATTCATTATCCATTGTTGAGCGATCTTATTGGTTCTTTTGATTCAATATTATAAAACATATTACTTTGACAGTTGTAATAAGGGGCCAGCTTGGCTTCTTACTTGTTTGAAGTTCTTTCCTGCAGGTAAAAATGGTACAGAAGCGTCCTTTTGATGCTGAGGAAATGCTTGAGGTGTCTTTTAAACACCCAAAACAAGCAGGACCCAGCAATCAGCTCATATCATTTTCAGAATCAGTATTTCCTGGGAATTCTTCCCAGATTCCTGAAACATCAGGTGTGGGTTTGTTTGGGGATCCCCCCTTTTTAGAATTAAATTTTCTTTTCTTTAAAACATAAAGCTTGTTTAGGAGTTTGAAGTTTCTGATCAAGTAGATTTCTGTTGTAACTTGTGTTGATAAACTGGTTTAGTTGTCAACTAATTTCGACCGATAGATGAAGTTTGAGTTATTGAGTATTCCCTTTTTCTAACTCAATTATTGTTTCCCTTTGAGGTGGTACTGGCTTGGTTGTTAACCTTTATTACTGACACTCTTCCTAAAATATGTTATAGTATCTTTTTTTCTTAAAAAAATTCCTTGTAGTAATAAGAAGCATTTGAGCATTATTGACTTCTGATTCTGACTGTACCTACCACTACCAGGAGATGGATAAATCAGATGACTGTATGAATTTTTGTTACATTTCCTCATAATGTATCCTCATCTGAAAAAAAAAAAAGCTTTTTGACCCAGTCTACTTTGTGATTGGTTAGAGTCTGGATGCAGACAAGTTAACACTGATGGTGATGAGAAACTTGCTAGTGATATTTTTGTTGAACATCCTAGAGATGCTGGAGACGTTGAAACAAGCTTTCCTGGAAGTAACTTTGTTTCTTCTTGGGCTCCTAGTACCAGTGAAGATGTCCGGTCAGATATGCCTGTCCATTTCTCTTTTTATCCTGAGTATTTTAGTTCAGAGCATCCAGTGAGGACGTTAACTCGCCATGAGGACATCTATTCCATACTCCTTGAACACCCCCCACGCAAACTTGTCCCCATTGGAGCTGATCATCAAGCTGATGTTCCAACATGGGACCTACCAGGCTCCACTAGTGTACTGGATACCTCTTCAAATTCCAGCCCTGCTGTTGGGGGTAAATCTGGGGAAAGATGGATGGGAACATGCATAATCCCCATGTCTAATATGGAGTTATCTACCGATGATGGTAAAGTTGGAAGGGGCAGAACTGATTGTAGCTGTGAAGATTGGGGATCTGTGAGGTGTGTAAGACAGCATATTGCAGAAGCAAGAGAGGAGCTTGCTAAAACAACTGAACTAGAAAGATTTAATGATTTGGGCCTGTGTGATATGGGAGAGCAAGTGGCTGAAAAATGGAATGCGGAAGATGAACAACTCTTTCACGAGGTCGTGTTCAGTAATCCAGCTTCCCTCAGCAAGAATTTCTGGAACACTTTTCCAATCGTATTTCCTGCACGAACCAAAAAGGAGATAGTGAGCTACTACTTTAATGTGTTCATGCTTCGAAGGCGGGCAGAGCAGAACAGAAATGACCATTTGAATATTGACAGTGATAATGATGAATGGCAGGGTAGTGATGCCAATGAAATTGCAACCCTAGGGGAAGATGAGGACTCTGTTGCTGAGTCTCCTGTCTATCAAGATGATACTGATCATAATAACTGCCATGAAAATGATCTGCAAGATTATGATGAGTATCCTCAAGATGAAACCTGTGATACTAATGAAGTTGTGGACTTTACCAAGAGTGACATTGACGATGATTTAAAATATGATCCTGAAGAGATGCAGCCTTCCAGCAGTTCCCCACAGCATATTCAGTGTCAGGATAAAATCATTTGTCAAGAGAGGTGTGATGACGAGGCACTGGATGAATCATACACATCCTCTGACCCAGGAGTTAGTTCACAGGAGATCAAAGGGAAGACTGAGAATGATGATCTTTGCTCAAATGACCTCAATGGGGTAAACAATGGCTTTAACACAGGATATGCTACGGAGTCTTGTGATGCCAAAGCCTGGGATTCTGGTTTTATGTCTTGTGCAAAAGATAAAATTGACTTCTTACCTACATGCAGCATGATTGAAGAGGTTTTTGGAGATGGGCTGAGGCAAGAAATGAGGAGGGCTTGAGCTTAGTGTTGTGCTAGCTTGGACTCTTCTTCAATCACAATTTTGGGAATAATCTATGTCCGAGGCTTTTTATGTTGAGTGAATGTCATCTAGCACTCTTGGCAAAGCATAATAAGAGTGATTCCAACTTGTGTATACTGACGTGAGATTGGAAATATAACCTTCATGTATATGAGTTTTGGCAAATGAGTTCGGTTATTGAGTTGGGTCCCATTTTTGTTGGGTATCGAGTTGTGTCTCCTTTATTTTTCTCAAGTCCTTTTAGGAGTTATAAAGTCCTTGCTTCTAATTTTACGGTAGTAGTGGACACTTGAGGTGGGGAGGGGATGATTGGTGAACAGTCGTGGGTGCGGTGTAACTTTGTACCATCCAATTCCCAGTCCATGAAAAATAGTCCTTTCTCCAATTGCCGCTTTGGTATTTGTTACTTGTTCATTTAGATTTTTTAATTAGGAAAGCGAGGGCCCTGTCTGAGATAAGGTGAAGAGATATTTGATGCTGTTTTGTCGAATTGATCTCTCAAGGTTTGATCTAGAGCTGCGCAGGCAGTCTGGTAGCCCGTATGCCCCAGCCCTTACAACACATGGTGTGCAAATTTGAGCAGTAGCCATTCCAGACCACGATTAAATTTTGACTTGCGAACATTGCAAGATTCGAGCTCTGAGAACCGAGTGTCCGGAAAGCATATTACCCACCAATCTTGACGCCTTTTGAACTTTATCCCAACCCAATTCTTATATGTGTGCGTGCGTGCGTGCGTGCGTGCGTGTGTAATTATAGCCCATTCCCTTGCACTTTCATTTTCGTTGTCTTCATTCTGACCTTATAACCCCATCATCTACATTGTATCCCAAATATTCCTCTGTTTGTTTCCTCTGTTCTCTAATAGTTTATTGATTAGTTGCCGGCTCCAAGGTTCTTAATTGAATTCTAGGCTAACCTGAGCCTAACCTATTAGTCTTATTGATTTCAGATGCTAACATGGTGATATCCAAAATCCACAGTGAAAGTGGTGTCATAGCTGCTTGGGACACAACCTACAATGTGGTCCTTTATTAGGACACTAACTAAGGTCACCAAACGAACGGTCCAGTCATATGTATGTGTTTATATATTCTCTGTTATGGCTCTATTCGATTCACTTATTCCCAACCTACTCTTGAAGCTTCTAACCACGTTACAACAAACAATAATCTGATCCACCGCACCAATCCACTCATGCCGGCGTAAGGGCAACAAACTGATCATACTCTTTTCTTTTCTCTTGTTTCTATGTTATGCCAAAAGTTCTTCCAATTTGTTATTGTTTTGTTTTGAAGAATGTATGAGATGATAAACCACAGTATGACTCATTTCAAATTTGGTTCAAAGCATGAGACCTATAATTTAGTTATATATAATTTGGTTCTATAGAGGAATTAACATAAGTATGGACGGCTTTGTCAATGAGTTTGCTGTGACCTGCTTAGTTATACAGTAAGCTGAAAAATCAACGCACCTCCTTTATCTTCAAATAACAAGTCGAATATTGTATATATTCTCATCAAGGAAGCTATTTCCATTTTTTTTCATCGCAATCAAATTAAACATACACACAAACATGTTAATACTAGACTTGAGACTGAACCCTTTTTTGAACATAGAAAGTGATGCTACAACTGAGACAGCTTGTTGTTAATAAAAAAAAATTAGTTTGAACTTCTAAATAGCATAATGTAAATATATATATTTATAGAATTCAGCACCATAATTGAAGAAAAAACGTTGGAGGGTGTTGTGATTATCCCAAAACGGGATCACGCAAAATAATTCCATTTCCAACCAATTTTAGTATAAATATAACTAGAAATTTTCTTTTTTAGAAAACTTTTGAAACTATTTTTAACTAATTTTTGCATTGCCAGTTAAATAAAATTAAATATAATATTGACAAAAATATTAAAGATTATTAATTCATCAAAAGTGACGTAGCCCTCGTGATTGCCGGATTTAAATTTGATGATTGTACTTAATATAGGTAGACACTGAGTGCCTGTACAATTTGAATTTTTAAAATCCAAATCAATGATTATGAACTTATACTTTATTTGAGATTAATGTGAGTAAATTTATTTAAATTGTTAACCTAAATTTTAACAGTTTAAATATATTAAATACAATCACCGAATCTAAATCTGTGATTGTCTGGTTGGTTTAGACATAAAATAAGCCTAATATTAAGTTACTAACCCCTATCTACAACCCACTTCATTTGCTTTATGCATCCTCGGAAGCTCTTGGACCACCATCTCTTTCTTTCATGGGAAAATGACAATTACAAACCCCATAAAAATATTAATGATACTTATATAATTTGAATTATTGAAATTTTGGTAAAAAGATTATGATTTTTATTTGCAATTAAAAAAAATTAAATAGTCAATTGAAAATATATTTAAAATTATTTACAATGTCAATTGAGAATTTATGAAAATTAGTTGTAAATTTGAGTTTTTTTTAATAATATACAAGCATATTACTTAAAAATTAGTTCAAAATCAATTACTTGAAATTATTTGTAACATTAGTTGAGAATTTAAGAGAGTCAGTTATGAATTAATAAATAAATTATTTATGATATCTTTGTGATTATTTTAAAATATTAAACCTTAAGATTGAAATTTAATCTGACACGGTCAAATAGTAATATAAAAAAAAATTAAAAGCACTAAGATTTAAATAGGTTTTAATAGTAAAATATAGAGTCATGTAATTTTGACAAAACAATGAGACGATTTGTATAATATAATGTTTTTTAATATGACTACATGAGTAGATAAATTTGAATATTGTGGAGTGCAATTGAAAGTAACTCTCCCACAATTCTTATGTCTTGGTGCAAACTTGAATTCAATCCTACAATCTTATCATGTATCTTATTGGAAGGGGAAGCTTTCAGCTGAAAAGCACGGGAGAGAGAAGGAGCAGAGGAAGAAGAAAGGGCAGTGAGCAAGAAGAAGCGAGCTAGCAAGGAAGGAATAGGAATAGGAATAGGTGTGCTGTGGATTCATTCAGTTATGGGGTCTTTATTTGCCGTTAGATTTCGTGAAGCCTTGCCGCAATCTCCTCTCCTCACTCCACGTGCTTTCTTCCTCTTTGCCTCCTTCCATGGATTTCTCCTCCATTTTTAGCTTCCTTTCTTCTTCCCCTTCCTTTGATTTTTTCTTCCAACCCTATTAACTCTCCACACGCACTCTTCTGCTTTCGCATCCATCCTTCTGCCCTTCTCTGATCTCTGCGTTCCATGGAAGATTCCAAGCGTGTCTGCAAGTTCTGCGGCAAAATCTTCCCGTGCGGCAGATCTTTGGGCGGTCATATGAGGTCTCACATCTCCGGCAATAATTCAGCTGAAACTGAGCATTCTCTCGCAGCGACGAAGCTCTCGCATGTCGTCGTCCAGGAGATTGGCGACGCAGCTGCTGTTACTGCCGGCTATGATCTGAGAGAGAAGAGGAAGAAGACTTGGAGAGTCGCCGATTCGAGTGACGGCACCACTCTAGCTTCAAACAAGCTGTGCAAGCGCTGTGGTAAAGGGTTTCACTCTTGGAAGGCTCTGTTTGGTCACATGAAATGTCACTCCGAGAAAGAAAGAGCTTCTGTTACTGATAACAATAGCTTGGAAGATCAAGATTCGTGGACTGTCATGGAGAGCCAATCCGACAACGAACCTCCCGGACCAAGAACAAGAACAAGATCGAAGAGAACAAGAGCGACCACCTCGTCTCTGTGCTTTTCCAATCATTCCTCTTCTGTTTCTGAAGTCGAGCAAGAAGAGGTAGCTTTGAGCTTGATGATGCTTAGCAGGGGAGTGCCTCCACGGGGATCTCGAGAAATGGAGTCTGATAAAAAACCAGAAACATCGGATCATTTTGCAAGAAGTGGGTCTAGGGAGAGCAAGACGAAGAAGCTAGATTTTCAGTCTGCAATGGAGGATTCTGAGGAAGTTGATAAAGAACAAGGGAAGAAGAACTACAAGTTATTGGGTTCAGAATTGAACTCAAATCCCTTGAAGAGTTCTCAGAGAAGATACAAGTTCGAGTGCACTTCTTGCAACAAGATCTTCCATTCTTACCAAGCTCTTGGTGGCCATAGAGCCAGCCATAAGAAGATCGCCAGAGATTGCTTTGTTCCAATAGATGAGACCAGTGAAAACACTATAAAACCAGGTTCGTCTCACTCTCACCATGAAGCAATTGCAGGTTCGGATCTTCATGAAGATGCAGAGCTTAACAAGAGCAAAGATCACGAATGCTCCATTTGCCTCAAGAGTTTTCCATCCGGGCAAACGATGGATGGCCACAAGAGATCCCATTTAGCTGAAAGTATGGATTTGATTGAGGAGCCAGTTGAGAAAATTAGGGACATGATCGATCTGAATCTTCCAGCAGAGGAAGAAGACAGCAATAATAATAGTAATTCTGAGTCTTACAGATCATCACCCTGGTGGGTGAGAGGCATCCACAACAAGCAGGAGGCTCTGGTAGGCCTAATGTCTAACTAATCACATCATAGTTCCAATTTCTCAGTGAAGATTCGAAATGTATAGGACAAATTTTTCTGCATTTCTTTGGTTAATTCTTCACAGGATCCATGTCTCCTTGTTGTTGAAGGTATATCTGCTCATATCATATTCTTCGAGTAGTTTACTAGATGAACTTTTGAGATGATATACCAGTTCATTACTTGTTTTTCCCCTTCCTAATCAATTTGCTTCTCATTGAAAAAAGCGAATCTACTTTTGTTCTTTTTTTGGTGGTGAATTCCAAAAGTTCAATGGACGGGGGTGGTTTTCAGTGATGAAGTTTTGGTGGTTGTTTAGTCAACCACCAAAACGCCAGAATAGCCATCTCTCTCAGGTTTTCCTTGTCTCACTTAGCACACAAGTGGCGTGTTATCAAATTCTTCTCACTCGTCACTACGCACCACTTTGAATGGCAATTATCATATTAATTTTTTATAGGGTTTTAATTACCATGATATTCACAATAATATTAAAGATAAGACTTATTCTAATATGTCTCAAATTATAAGATACTTTTAAATATATTTAACGTTTTAAAATATAAAACACTTTGCGAATGTTAAAGTTATATTAAATAGACTTATTCTAATATTATCCTTTCTTTATCCATTTATTTAATTGTTGTCCCTATCTCTTTTAATATATTAAATAACATGTATTTTTGAAAGTTTATTTTTTTATTTTTTTAAAAAATAAAATTGTTAAATATGTTTAATAATATTTTTTGGTATATGAGATTTTCTTCAAAGTGTTTTATAATGTGAGATGGGGTATTGATACTTAAACTTATATATTTAATGCATTTTTATCAAATTAAAATAAAATATGTAAATTTTAATGTGTTAATAATAATAATAAGAATTTCTCATAGTATAAATAATTTATAAAATATTCACATATTTTGATTTAATACATCACTTTAACTAGATAATGTTAAGAATATAAGTTTTTTGGTCGATACTGTATCATTAAACAGGTTTTGGACATGGCTAGCTCCACCAGTAAGTTGATACTTGAGCGAGCGAAAATCTCTCATATCACCAAGGGCATCTACAAGAACAAATATTTTTACTTGAAAAATTTAATTAATTATTTAATAGTCAGATGAATGATTTAGGTTGTTGATCCAAGTTTAATTTAAAATGATCTAATTCTTAAGATTTTGTATTTGTATTTTAAATTATAAATCAGTTTTAAGTACACAACAAAATATTATCTTTGATCATGTATTTTTTGGGTAATATCATGTATTTTTATTTTAAAAAAATAAAAAAATAAAAATCCTTATTGTTTATCTCAAATCTGCGTATGATAAAAGTATTAATTGTAATTAATTGTTTAAATTCAAATTGAGTACCCAGGCCTCTAATAGTTTGATCTTGATCCAAGTGCTTCAACTAATCAACTTGGTGTAAGATGTCTTGGGAACCAAGAAAAACCAAGAAAAACTAATTAAAAATTTAGTTAAATTATATTTAATATCTTTGAAAAATTAAGGTCATCATTTTTAACAGAATTAAATTTTGTATACAATGTGAATCTTCTGTAAGAATAAAATTATTTACTTGAATCTCATCATCTCACATGATATAAAAATAATACGATAATATGATTATAAAAATTAGCATCAATTCAATTGTCACATTAAAATAAAACTGTAGTATGATTGGCCTTAAAATTCCCAGAAAAAGGTTTGTCCTGTTAAAATTTTACGCCATTCATTATTCCTTTAATATTTCTACTAATACATTAGCGAAGCCAGGTCTAGTGAAGAGGAATTAGCTTCCCACATAATGGTAAAACAAAGTTAATTTTTTTTAAAAAAATACATATATTTAATATTCAATGATATTTTGAATAAAACTTGCTCCAATAAAAAAAATAACAGCACGTAGTAAAAAAAAAATATTTCTCTTGTCGAAGCCCACTCCTCATACAGCCTTGAAGTATTAGTAGAGCCGGTAATTCGGGCGAGCCGGGCTTATTCGGGTCAGGCTCAATTCGGGCCAGGCTTATTCGGATTGGGCTTAAAGAATCCTACTCTTTCTAAAAAGCTCATATAGCCAAGCCCGGCTCTAATGCCTTCGGGCTTATTCGGGCAGGCTTGAATACCCGAAACTTTTTTTAAAATATTTTTTTATTTTTAATCAATTTTAACTTTTAAATAATTTTATTAAGCATAACATATTATTTTAACTTAAAAGGAATAAAAAAATAATAACTTATTAACTTTATAGTTAAGTATTTAAGTAGCTTTGTTACTATTTTGTTGTATTATGTGCAATTTATTCATAAATATTTTCTTTACTTGTAAATTAATGTCTTATTTATTTAAATATTGCCCTTATCATATTTATATAAAAATATTTATATATTTTAATTAAATCATATTATTTTAATTATGATCAAGTTAATCTCAATTCAACTACGATTAAACCATTAATTTAAAATTATTGTCCTGATTAGTTCAAAGTTTTTAATAACTATTGGATAAACTATACTTTTTATTTTTAAGAATATGAAAAAAATAGTCATCATTATATTATATAAAATAAAATTATTTAATTATGGGCAAAATACTATTTTTTTTGAATTTTTTTCTTTAAGTATTTTATATTGTTTAAGTCCTATATATAAAAAGTATTTACTTTAGTTCATTCTTAATTTTTAACTAAGTCTGGCGTGTATAATAATCAAATAATTATCTAAAAATATTATTTTATTTATTATGTTTGTTTAGTAGTAGAGCCAAAAATTCGTACATGTTTAAATTTTATTTTTAAAATTATTTTTAATTTAAAATTAATTATCTTATTTTATAAAAAATATAAAATATAATTTTTTGGAAATGAAAATGGTTTATATGACTTAAAAAAAATTGAGTCTTAAAATATAAAAATCAATATTAAAATATATTTTAATTATTATTATGAGATATTTTATTTGATTAAAAATAATAAAAATGGGAAAATATAAATATTTTTATTTTTTTAAAATAACTATAGTAATACACTCAAATATATAATATTTTAAAATAAAATAATATGAAACTTGAAAAATAATTAATATTTATTACATTATATATTTTTTAAAAAAAATTATTTTTTTCCTATTCGGGTATTCGGGCCAAGCCCGAACCCGATCGGGCACCCGAATAGGCCCGAACAATAAAAAATATTATTTTTTCAGGTTCGGGTCTAAATTTTTCGAGCAGGTTCGGGCTGACCCATCGGGTTTGATCCAAATTATCGGCTCTAAGTATTAGCATCTCTTTATCTACTTTTTTGATTGGATCATGAGCCCAACCCTTTCTCGGGGAGCACAATTTTCCCCGTCTCCTGCGTTAGCCTCTTATTCTTAGTTCATTTTAATTTTAATGATTAGCTAATCTTTTTATGTATTTGTATTGGTATAGTTTCCCAATTATTTATATTCATTATTAAATTAATTTCAAATGTGATAAACTTTAATTAATTTTTGAAGTTATTTCACAATGATTGTCTTCTTGTTTTTTTTGTTGGAAAAGAGTCAAATACAAATATTTACAATAGAATGGAAAATTAAATAACTAAATTAGAAAGGAAGGAGCACAGAAGTTTTTTTTTTTTTTTTTAAAAAAAAAGACCATCCACAGGCCAATGGGGCCGACGTCTGTGAACGAAATATAGTGCTGAAATGTTGGTGAAGGATTTGAATATCTTGATATCTATTTTAGGTGGGTCCATTGATGATTGATGCATACACATTTGCACAAGGAAATTGCCTCTGAAGCAGCTGAGCTTAGAAAAGATTTCTTTCTCTTTATTTGTTTTGGGGCCATATAACGGCTATTTTCTATAAAAACTTCTTTGGCCAATATTTTCTAAGAGTAATTTATGTCAAGTTACTTTAAAACAAATTAGGTGGACACGTAACATAATGTCAATTAACATCCTAACAATGTATTAAACTCATATTTAAATTTTTTTATTGGAAGATATATTCATATTTAGTATTCAATTATAATTTTAATAAAATTATTTAATGCCCAATAATAAGATTCATTATATGAATTATATGACATAATGATCAATCAACAAATTAAAATAAATTCTGTGTACATAATAAACATGGGATGTGATTGGTGAATACTGCGAGTATTTTTCCTACATTTTTTCCTACATTTTATTTATTTTTTTGCCAAAATTTTTTTCCCTATAATGATAAAACAGATAAAAAAAATTAGAATCCAAGTGAGGTGAGAGGATGGAGGAATAAACGAGGCAACGTTTGCCAAAGTCTGTAAGGCCATGTTTGGTATGTAGTATTGAGAGGTTGGGTTTGGCATTAGTATTAGGAAAGGCCCAATTCAATGTGTTTGGTATGAGATATTAAGTCATACTTGGATTTGCTTAAACCCACTTAGATGGGATTGCTTAAACCCACTTAGATGGGATTGCTTAAACCCATCTCTCCCATAGTATTGAGAAATCAAACCTGAGTTTGTTATTTTATGACAAAACTACCCATGGTAATAATAATTTTTGGACAAGAGTGCCCCTATCATATTTGCCCTAATAAACTTCATTAGTCTCGCATACCTGAGTCGGATACCTCAGACGCCATCTCCACTGTCGACTTGCTCCATCGAACTCAGACGCCATCTCCATTACCGACTTGCTCCACCAAACTCAGACGCCATCTCCATTGCCATTGCCGACTTGCTCCATCAAACTCAGACGCCATCTCTATTGCCGACTTGCTCCATTGAACTCAAATGCCATCTCCATTGCTGACTTGCTCCATTGATCTCGCCTATCGCTCGTCCATCTCCTTCATCACGCTGTTAGGTACTATCGCTCATCCATCTCCTTCGTCCATCTTCTGTTTTTTTGGGCTTTGCTTTTCCCTTTAAATGTTCAATTTAGTTCTAAAGGGTGCGTTTACAAAGCTCTTAAGTTCACTATAGACAAAGGAAGCAAGCATAAATTTTGAGGATGATAAATTTGTGATTTTACGATGGAGAATTTGAGTGCTAGACAAAATATAATCCACTGAAAATTGATGATCATTCGACAAAACCCAAATTCCACCCATAAACCCAGTTGCTTCTACTATAATCCAATCTGAAAAGCCCAGCTCTCGGACAACACAATCAGCTTTATATCCACTAATTCTAGTTTCCACAAGGCACAACACAT